TCTGGTCCCCTTACTGTTGTCCCCTACTGATGTACAATATAAGGTGTCTTCTGGTCTCCCTACATATGTAGAGTTAAAGGTGACATCTGCTCCCCTACTGATGTCCCCTACTGATGTACAATATTAGATGACCTCTGGTCCCCCTACTGATGTACAATATAAGGTGACCTCTGGTCCCCCTACTATAGCTAATGTACAATATAAGGTTGCCTCTGGTCCCCCAACTGATGTACAATATAAGGTGACTCCTGGTCCCCCTATTGATGTACAATATAAGGTGACCTCTGGTCCCCCAACTGATGTACAATATAAGGTGTTCTCTGGTCCCCTTACTGTTGTCCCCTACTGATGTACAATATAAGGTGTCTTCTGGTCCCCCTACATATGTAGAATTAAAGGTGCCCTCTGGTCCCCCTACTGATGTACAGTATAAGGTGCCCTCTGGTACCCCTACTGATGTACAGTATAAGCTGACCTCTGGTCCCCCTACTGATGTTCCCTTCTGATGTACAGTATAATGGGGTACATCTTCTTTGTAAAATAAATAAAATCAGAGGTTTACTAAAAAATGTTAAAGTGATGAGGTCGCCCATTTAATAATGATCTCATAAGGAAGAAGAAGGAGACATTAAATTATTTAACAAATAATTACAGTAAAACTCGGTTATAACGAAGTCACTGGGACCTATGAAATTACTTCGCTATATCCGTAATTCGTTATATCCGTAGTAGAATTCGTTAAATTTATATAGCTGGGGATCCAAGAAAAATTCGTTATATCCGTGAATTCGCTATATCCGTGTTCGTACTAAACGAGTTTTACTGTATTCCATTATGTTGAGGGATCGGTGAAAAGTCCGAGCGAAATTAAGAGGTAGGGGGTGGTAAGGGAAAACATCTTCCTCCTCCCCCTACTTGTTAGAGATCTGCGAATTCAGAGACTTGACGTCGTTTACTCTGAGTCGCATACTATTAGTAAGAAGATCAGAGGTTAGGCACTGTGTTATATAGATACTATAACCTTGCATGGAATAAAATCATAGGGGAGACCACAGGTCACCTAACGTAATCCATAAATGTTAAACGCTTATATATCATATATCGTATAAAATTGCAGTTAATGTTGCTCAGCACCCACCCTCCACCCCCTCTATCTTTTCTAATACCCGTCAGATGATTATTCCTTTTAAAAAGTTGTTTGTTTTACACTGTAAAGGCTTCACAGTATTACGATTTATTCTATTTTCACTTTACGTATGCAACGCACTACATTTTGTAGCGGAGTAAACAGGCCCGATAGTCGTGAACTGAGCAGGGGACCTAAGGTCCTAGTTCAGCGTACGTTTTATCCTTCTGCTGTTCATGGACAAGTGCATAATACTTTTTTAAAGCTGAATATTTAATAAGATTACGTGCCTAAAACTGAACAAAAACTTTTTTCGAGTACAATGTATTTCTTTTAAACAGAATTTCACTTTATGAACATATTGGTATATATGTATAGGCTTAGTTTCATTAAAGTGAGAAAGGTTTTCACGAGATTTCACTATATTAATAACATTAATAACGATTCTTTTTCTCTAAGGTTGCTTTAATGCAAGACTTCTCTAGCTTTCCAAGAAATTAGAAATGCACATTACCTGGGCGATCATTACGCCTCTTCTTTCAATAACCAACTCACTTGATCCTCCCCTGGGATTTTACCTGTATTTGTTATATAATGCATGCTTATCCCAAGGCAAAGCCAATAAAAACAGGCGATGGAGGCAGTGTGGGGTGAACATGGTGTTTATAAGCTTTTCATCAGCATTAACATGTTAATTATGACCGTTCAATGAACCTGGAATATTTGGCCTCTTTCCACCACTCCCGATCATTAGAATTTTTACAAGTGTTCTTTGATACATATATTTTTGAGAAATTGAAGCTTATTAGCAATATCACAATGAAAAAGCGAGTTACATGTATATATTTTATACTTAATGGTATTGGTTAGTTACTAAATAAAAAAAATTGCAAGAAAGATAACTCTGGGATGTGTCAAAAATAACACGCACCTGAGGGTCGAAGAACTATCGACCAGGAAAACATGCATGACGGGCACAGCTCATACATGCGGTAAAAAAATATATACTTGAACGTGGAATATGGAATTTTAAGTAATATTCCTGGAACAAGACTGCGGATGCGTCTATTTCTATTTGTCAAAATCACCTGGCACAGACTCAGCAACATCTCAAAGCAGTAGTCAAAGACCGGTTTTGACAGCTAGCAAAAGTAAAATCGAAATATTCTCAGTATTTTTTAAGGACGACTGCTCTTGTTTATTGCATATTAAATAGGAAATGACTCTAAACATACTTGTAATGATTTTTAAGTAACAGATAGCAAAAAGGAACTTACCCTACAACGTACACTTAAAGTAAATGTTTTCGAAATGCTTTTATAAATATGATTCGATTGTCAATAAATGAACCTGTATTTGTTATGCCAAGTCGTAAACAGAAACTGCTTAGGTTTTATGAGAAGACGATATTCATGTATTTAGTTCTGTGTTTTGCACTGTTTAGTTTTGTTACTGATGATATGATTGCTAATTAAATTACAGGGCATAGACTATTTGTGCATTGCCCTGCAGCTTTGGAGTTTCTCTCTTTGCAGGGGTTTAAGTTCTATTGTATTGGCGCACTACAATGATGCGTGCATGCACAGATCAATACGGGATATCGATGCAGATTTAAACTACTCAGTGTTAGCCATTAATAACAATTTTCATGATTCTCATTAACAAAAATACATAAAACTGTCATTTTTAATAAGTGCTGCGTTGCGTTTCGGGCCTTCAAATCGATTATTACATAACCAATGGTTAATCAATCCCTGTATAAATATTTGACAGACTTTGAACGTCGGCACTGACCATTGTTACGGTTAGAAGTCGTAAGAGAATAAACATTCTACAGATATAGAAAGTAGATATTGGCCGTGCCGCGTAGACCTGCCGAGCCTGGTTCAATACAATTTGGTCATGGTCTTCCCAGTCGTGAGCGCACATTGTGAGGGAGAGGTTATATGCCCTAACTATATTTAAAGACTAAAATTATCCTGTCCGAATTGATGCTATGTTTGTGTCTAATTACACAGCTGATTAAGGGATAAATCTTCTTACCTATCAATTAGCTTGAATTGCCGAAAATTTACTTTGATTTTAACAGTTTAAAGTCGCATACATGTGTGCGTTAGCTCAGGTGAAATCATGAGTCATAACCAACGTTGACAGTTGAGAGTTGTGGAATATTGTGTACATTTTTACACAGTTCTATGCGAAATCTATGCATATTGTAATCTGTTGACTTCACCGTTCATGTTTTCTGGAAATAATGTCCGTCGAACAAAATGGGGAGTGCAGTCCGCAACCCAAGTCAAACCACGTGAATACATCGTTCAAATCTGTCAAGTTTGCCCCCTTGGAAAGTACACGTATAAGTGAGGTGGGATTTAACGATGACAGTGATGATCAAGTCGATTTCCATTTCAGGGAATCCTCGGAGAAAATCCAGGAGTCAGTCCGTATCTGTGACCTTGACGATTTGGTTAACGATGTACCCATTATCAAAAAGGAACCTTCACAACCCAGGTAAACTTCATCGTATGCATGAATTCACCTTTATATTCATTTATCACCTGTTAAGCCGCTGTGTTGACATTTGTGCTTTTCTGTTTACTTTTTTTTTATTGTGAAGATCAATATTGTAATCTTTGAAGACTTCTATATCCCCGGCCACAGGTAGAAGACCGTATCACACAGAAGAATCAATTACTGCAAAATCAATTTGTGGTCTTTTTCATTCACTTATCAAGATTTGCATTATTGAGTACATGCTATCAAAATCTGCCTTAATTGATATTTGAGTAAAACTTGTCCGCTGAGATTTAACTTATGTGACTTAGCGAATTCTTATTGTTGTGGTCCACATTTACAGGCTACTGTGCCTTTTTTGATATCATTTCGGTCAACTGTGAAGACATATGAATCGATTTACAAAAGAAACATAATAAGAAAAGTATAACATTGATTATGTCATTAATACATTTTAAATCCTTTTCTTAACACAGGAATTGCTGTGTGGGAATAAAATGTTTTGTGAATATTGGACCAACAGTTGTTTAATTTTATCTCTAAGCCTATTACAATTTCCATTCAAGAAAACAAATTTTCTTCAAGCATACGTCTGATTATCTTCAAAGAACTCCTTCTTTTTAATTAAAAGATACATATTACAGACTTGCGAAAGATAACCAAGACTCTACGATGCAATGTCTGTCAGAAAAATGCTTTTGCAGAGCAACAAAACTATTTGTATGTAACAACCGGAAACGCTCAGGAAAAAGTAAATATTTGCTCCTACTTTCTTCTTTCATCTCTGCAACTACGAACTGTTAAGAAATTTCTGAAATTTTTAGAAACATGTACATGTATACCATATGTATGCAATCGGTTGTGTTTCTTCTCAAAAGTGAAGTGGTCGCATTTATCTGCATTGTGATAAGTAATAAAACAATATTCATTATTAATGTTTAAAAAAAAGTCAGCAGAATTCGGCTTTTTCTTAAAGATGCATTTGGAATTTGCAGCTGTTTCTTTATCGAGGAGAAGATGATGATGAGATCTTATATTCACCAAAGAAACCGAGTTTTTGACATTCTTGACTCTAGCTTTATTAAATTTCGTAAAATAATACACAGAATACGGCAAGGAAAATAAAGCCCGAAATACACTTTTTGTAAAACTTTCATTGAATGTTGTTTATATTTTAATATACCAAAGAATTAGAATCAACCATTTTTTTTAAAGCATGGATTTCCTTAATTTGAATTACTTCTGCTAAAGCACTGTTCACCATTTTTACTGCATGCTCTTCTAATTAACGAGGAGTCGATGATGTAAGCCTTAAAGAAGCTGCCTGCAGATGGTGATGTTTACAAAGGAGAAAGTGTAAACGTGCCTTCATTAGTAGGTTGTCAATATGTCGACTTTCATTTGGCTAAACGGTTCAAAATGTGTACCTAGTCCCGTATTGGATCACATATTGTGGCACTGTGCTTGTGTGGAACGAATCTGTAATAGCCAACGCACTCAATAATTTGAAGAATTTACTGGTTTTCTTTCCAGTAATTAATCAACAATTATAACCTGGGTCTGCCATCAACGTCGTTTAATAAAACAAGAAGGAAGGCACTAAACCGTGCAGTGTAATCCGCCGGTGGTCAGACCTGGCTGGAATTTTTACTGTCTGCAAAACATCTTTCAAATATTCTCCAACATTCTTTTTTTCTCGTTTGCGGCTTTCATCATAAAATACTATAATATCCAGACATCTTCTTTGGTCTTTAGGTATGTGTGTGTGCTTTTGATTCTATAATGCTATCGATTAGATAGCCAACAGAGAGCTATGACCTTAGCCTTGCTAATATTGTTTATCATCTAATGTGAATCTCATACATTTCCATAGCAATGTTCTGTAATAATTTTGGAAGCTTTACAAAAATGTCTTGAGGAAGCAGGTATTTTAAGGTTGGAGGCGTTTCTTTTATAATTACCTCTAAACTGTTACATCGAGGAAACCTCACTTCAGAAATGTAATGGAAAGAATTAGTTTCGAGGACACAATAGTTACGGGGTTCTGTTCTGAGAGATTTCGTTTAACATCATATTATCTGCCAAGAACTGTTTGCTTCAAAAAATACGCAGTTGTGTTTTGAAGGCATTGAGCTGCGTTTGGAATACTATTGGAATGAACGTTCTTGTTTCTGCAAAATGGGAATATTTTTTTTCTCCTGAAATTCAAATGTCTTAATGCGTGTTCTCATGTCATTGTCATTCTGTGAATGTCTTGACAGCATCTTTGTCTGAAAATTATCGACTTTTTTCATCCTTTCCGTGTGACATAGATATATTAAAGTGCAAAGATGTATTGATTTCTCTAAGGATTCATGGCTGACCACTGATTTCGATCTTGAAACCCATGATGGAACAAGATAATTCGGAAAATAACAATTCTGTTACATCTGGGAAGTTGAATTTAAAAGGAGATGGATGTTGTCTGAACTGTACTTGTCGATGGTATGTAAGAAAATGCCCATCATATTCACAAGAAATGGTGGTAATTGAGTTAGCACTTTGAAATAAAAGGGGAGATGTTCTAAGTTTGATCTTAATCGTCTTAAACTATTGTTTTGTTTTGAGTTTTTTTAAGGACCATGTCGCTTATGAGAAAGTATTCTTTATCAGATGCAAGCAAAACTAAAAAAGCAACTTTATTAAGTTTTAACATTTATTTTCTTCAGAGCGCGTAGAAGAGACATCTCTAAACAATAGGAAGAATAAGCTAGCAGTATAAACGTCAGATGCAAATTCGTAAATCAGATAACACTGGCATTTATATCAATAATATATAGATACACATTCATGGGCGGTAACTCTCTGTCGTTTTTGTATTTGCTTTAGCAAGAGGAAAGTAATTGAACAGCAGCGTATTGTGACTGGAATGTTTCAGATTTAAACTGTGAGAAATAACACCTTTATTTATCAGAATATTGAATTCTAGTGTGAAATGCACCTTATCTCAAATAGGGCCAAATAACAGCATCGTTAAAGATAAGCAAAACTGAATGACTTGGCTGTCTTGAAGAATAATAATATTTTTGGTTTTATAAACAAACAAATCACCGTTCAGTTCTGATTAGCCTCTTATTGAGGGACTTTTATCCCTTTCCTCGTCTACTCTGTCTATCAGTCTGTTTGTATTTTCTATACGGTTGAATGAAATTTGCATCAAACTTGATACAACGTCCGTTAAAAACTATGCCTTTTGTATGCTTGAAACTGTTTAATCACACTTGTATAGATGGTAGATCATCGTGCCGAAGGCTAACAAGAAGAAGAATATGTTTATATGTTCCCATCTCCATTCTTGAGCAGGCCGTTTTCCTATATAAGAGATATCGTATTCGGCTCGATGCATTCTTCTCTGATGAAAGCTCCCTTCAGATAACATCCATAATTTGTGATCTAAATCTTGTTCTTCATCTGACAAGTGATTAGAGTCTGGGCATTTATGTGACTCAAATATATACCTTGACGGCAGAGGACTAAAAGATATATCTAACTTTGCAGAACCACTTTGGTATCTATAGCATTACTAAACATCAGTAAGAATCATACAGGACAGACATTGTTTTGGGATAGAAGAAGACAAGCCCTCAACACTCAGAATGCTTGTTCTAAAAGTTTCATCTAAAATAGAAACATTTGTATGCACAATAAAGTTTTGCTGGCATTTGAGCAATTTGTTGGTGGTATACAATGTCTTATTTATACACGAGTCTTACGTCAGTCGAGGTTACAGAATGTGTTAGATCTCCTAGTATTATCTAGCATTAGACAAATGGGCATGAAAGAGAAAACCAATATCAACAGCGTGTGATGTATTATTAAACGTATTTAATTTTATTACACACTTCAAGTGATTAAGTTAATTTATGGTTTCTTATGAAAGGTGTTGATAGATGTTCTCTTTCTCTCTCTAAATTTTTATCTCAAGGTAAAAATTATCTCACATTATATAAAATCCAAGTCGACATTATTTAAGTCTAAAATGCATGATACGAAATTTTTGGATTCTTTATAGGAGCGTTTTTGTTCCTGAAAGCTATCAAAACAACGCTTTGAAAGATGTTTTTTAGTTTTGTGATAAATTTGAAAATAACGTTTAGAATACTTAACTGAAATAAACTTGAGATATTTAAGTACACTTAACAAAAAAAGTTAAGTTTCTGTCAAGTGATTAGACCTTTTTAAAGTTAAATTATCAGTATGGGCAACATTGAACTATAATTGAGACATCTCTGGGTAGGGATAGTAATAACTGGACTGGACTTTAAGATTTAATATCCTATTTTTTATGCTTTGATCAGCCATGACAAGGCCCGGAACAATAAAGTGAGTTTCTGTGATGCTCCTAATGAAATAACTTCCGCACCGTCAGCGCCGCCTGGCGAGCCCAGCCCCACAGGGACCAGTGAAACTATTGTTCTCTCAGACACACCCCTAGGAATCTGGCCCGTCAAAAGGTCGGCCAGGTAAGGGCTCATTCCTTTTCTATGAAAATCAGCAATCGCTTGCTTTGTAACTGTAGAATTGTCTGTAGCCAGCTGTATATATTCAGGTGTAAATATGGAAAAGCTTTTTTCTACTGCATGCTTCTCCCAGAACCTACCACATAATATTCCTCTTGGTTAGTTAGAATGAGTGTAGAATGATGGATTGTGGTGTTGTCTTTGTCTTCAGTATTTTTGGTTGATGTATGGTTTTATGCCATGCGTGGCTTGTATGTTGAGCAAAAAATTAAATTGAACACTGTCTCTTGCAATGAGACTTAAATTTATTATTCAGTGGATTGCTAGAAGTGTCATTTACCCTTAAGCAAAATAATTCAATTTCGAATGACAATTCTAATTAATATTTTTACTGATATTCGGATTTATGCATGTCGGAGGATTATATGCATAAATGTCTTATAAGTACACTTGCAGTTGGGATGATATAGGAACTGTGAAGTGAAGAGATAAGACTTTATTCGACAAATCTATTCCAATTAATATTCAAAGAAACCTTCATAAATTTGTCTCTCAATACACATATATTATATATTGGTATAACAGAGTTAAATCTCATGAAACCCTTGTCACTTCCTGATCTTGGAGTCATATCGTATTTTCGGTTTACTGTTAAAAAGTTGACTAAAACTGCGTTAACATTTTAGCAGTAAAACGAAAGAACGATATGAATGTGTTTATATTCATTATACAACCTTGCAACATTGACTCAAGTCACAAGCATGCAGCCGAACAACATCATAACAACATTATTGAAAGAAAGCTGTTGCTAGAATTGTTTGGAAATATTTGCTGTGAATATTTGGAAACAGTTGCTTTTAGAATTAATGCTCAGAAATAGTTGCTATGGATGTTTAGAAATAGCGTCTACTAATTATTACAAGAAGCTTAAAGTAGTTGCTAAGAATGATTAGAGATAGTTGCTATGAATGTTTGGAAGTCCTGCAAAAAAAGTGCAATTGATGGCGCAAGATTTTTTGCGCATTTTTGGGGAGAATTTCTCCACTTTCCAGCATTGGTCAACCAACTATCTTTTACTCCCGTATTCAAGACACATTCTTTAACAAATCTTTCAAATCGCACCTATAGGCGACAAACTCGCATGCAGGAGGTGAATTTTCAGCAATCCAACAGCCAATTTTAATCAAACGAGTTTATCAGTTGCAGAGACGACGTAAATTGCACATTTTTGCATAACGGGATCTGTAGCGTTATGGCAAAAGACTAATATTTAAAACAATTATGCTACAGTTCTGCAACTACATGAAGTTTGAAAGCAGTTGTTTGTGCTTGGTGTTAACAGTTGCTATGAATGTTAAAGCAGTTGCTATAAATTTGAAGCAGTTGCTATGAATTTAACGAAGCAGATGCGATTATGCTTTTCAGTATTTATAAATGCTTGGGAGCAATCGTAATGAATGTTTTGGAACAATTGCTAATACTGTTGGAAAGCAATTGCTATAAAGAATTGGTGTAGTATTTGCTTTTAATGATTTGAATCTGTTGCTATTTATGTTTAGAAGAAGTTCCTGTCAATATTGGAAACACAATGATTTTGTAGGATTTTCTTTAAATGATAACTGTTGCTATTATTTTTTGACGCTTTGAAGAAATTGCTCTGAAGCATTGTAAGCAGTCGGTCAACAGGGGATGTTCACTCCTTTTAGGCACCTGATCCCACTTCTTGAATTACCAGGTGTTCGTGTGTCATCCCCTCTTTACATATTTGAATTGTTTGTATAATTTATTAGATAGATCACTGTCCGTTATCTTAAGCTTCATCTTTAACATTGCTATAATGATTGCAAGTAGACTTTCATGTATCAATGCTTTAAAATAATATTTGGCAATTTCTTTTTTTCCTTTTCATAAATGTTTTAAAGCAAATTGAATTGTTATATATCATTGGTAGTAACTTCTAGAAAATGTGCTAATGATAGAGGTCACTGTTTTTCAAAGTCGCGCATGTTTATTTGTAAGAATCATTTGCTAGACATGATGATTTTCACCCACAGTCATTCCACCCTATTTTTCTTTATGTCAGTGAAGTGACAAGACAACTTTCGTTTTGAGCAAACATTTCTTTATGAAAGTTTTCCAAAAAGTCAACAAATTTTCGTTAAAATCAGCTACTAGTCCATCATCCAGTCTTTCTATAAGTCGAATTATAGGTTCAGTTTCCGACCTCGGAACCTTTTTACAGTAATACTATATAGTCATGTTACTCGCACTTCGTCCTCCAAAACCTGTTTAATTATGTTTTCTTCGTGTAGTCCTTCTACATATCATATAATGAAATCTACTAAACCTCATGTAGTTGTGTCAGTCCTTGCATCAGGACTCCTCTGCATAATATATTTTTGAACATTGAGAAAATTTTAACCCCAGGAAAAGTTTTCTAAGACAAATAAGTTTTGCTAAAAAGTAATCACTTGTTAACTTTGGGAACATGCAAATATATGATCTGTTTAGTAGGCTTGAATATATGTAAGCAATATACAATTCATTTCAACTTTTTATATACTGAGTATCTATTCTTAGGACAGGTCACTCTAACTACATAAAAATTTTACCGAATCGTAACTCCATTGTGTAAAGAGAATTTAAGGTAGCTTTCAACATTACATGCTGAAGAGTTCGTATCCTATGATATACCAAGTAGTTTAATACTGTTAGAGTGATCTGCTCTTTGAAACAAACTTAAGTTAATATCCATAGTAAATGACTCCATTTGAATAAAGATATAAGTATTCTCCACATTTGATGTATAAGGCCAAGTAATGAAGTAATTTTAAAAATCATTGCTTGTATATTCCTATTGTAAGTAACACCGGTTTCTGTTTAAGTAATGCTTCGTTTTCCTGAACATTTAAAAATAAATTTGAAAGTATACAGCTGTACACTGTACATCTTCAAAACAAATCTTAAATCTAGAAAACCGTGTTCCATTGTTCCACTGGTGTGTAAAGCTTCCTTTATCTTTTCAAAGTAATCAAACACAGACATGAACGGACTTTCTTTTGTTTACACTGATATAACGATAAGGTTAATTAAGTTTGGAAAAATATACGCGAAATATAATAATACAATGTAATATACAAATGTCATACATTTTTTATCACGTGATCTGTTAAGCTTGTTTTCCAATTAAGGGCATCAGTCTTTGGGGTACAGGGAGTACCCCCGCGGTATACATGTAATCATTCACTGCAGTGTATACATGTACATCCATTTACTCTTCAGTCTTTACAAATCTTAGAAATGCAATTCATGATCATTTATTTGAATAATTTAGTAGCATGGAAAAAAATCAAATAACTTTTCAGGAATAATGGTGAATAAAATACAAGAAAAAGAACTGAAGTCTGAACTAACTAACTGAAAAGGCTTCGTATGTAACATTCATGTTATTATATACCGGTATACCTTTGAAGCATGTGTGAAATATGTTTAAAGATCGGGGTCGAATCATGGTGCTGTAAGGTCGCAGAGTGAATGTAATCAAAAAACGAAATAGGCTTTGAACTAACATTAATAGGTTTCCTACTGTGTTCCATTTAAGAAAAAAAAACGTACAGAGATTATTGTTTTTGTATAATTTATTGACCTGAAAGTTGTTGCTTCGATGTCATTTGCCAGAGATTGTTTTGTTGAGTAATACCATGTGGTGCAGTGTTTTGTGCATGAAATAATCGTTTGTTGACGCCTTGTAGAACGAAGCATGTGTCTCTGTTTCTAATTACATGCGAATAACATGTAATCGTGCATAAATACGAGAAATACCAAGACCTTCCGAGTTACTCAACGCCCGGCATGTAATTGATTCACTCTTTTCAGCAGCCGTATCAAGGGTCATTATATGCACAGTATTGTTTTCCTCTAACGGGTTGTAAAGGTGATAAGAGTGGTGCTATTTTATGTGAAAGAATCAGGCAAAACAGTGAATGATTAACGCCGATAGGGGTCGTAGATGAAGCGTGACTTACGGTGGCTCAAGGCGCTGTTGAAGTGGTTAGCTTTGAGGAGGAGGCAGGTTCCGCAGTGTAAACAACACGGACTGCCTGCCGTCTCGGTGTCAGAGGATAACTACATTGTATGCAACGACTTAGTGACAGTTGTAGTTATTAGATTAACATAAATTCTGCAGTTACCATAGAAACAACACATATTGATGCTTCTGTAGGTTTGTCTTGGAGTGGTACTATGGAGGACACGCGTGAAGGGAGGTAGGTCACCTTATCCAATGGCGGACAATGCAGGTCTACTGACCCTGCCATTTCTTTTACATCGATTAACGTATCTTACTTAATTCATCCTGCTTAGTGTATTGATTGGGGGAATTATTTTATTGATTTCTTGGTGTAAGTGAGTGTGATAACTAATTCTTGTGTCCGATACTTCTCTCTCTCTAGTTTTCGACTGCATTCTTGGTCTAGTATATTCTTTTTGTAAAATAGCAGCTTATGATAACCCTCTGCAGCCAGACTCTATCGTTCGTGGTTCTTATCAGTTCGGGCGGAAACTTCCTGTCGTGTAAAGCGTTACGTCTGGTGCTGTGGTTTGCCCCGTTTGGGTTTTGTTTCTAAGCGTTGTAGGAGCATGCCAACCCCGCTTTATGTACCAAAAGTCGTAATTGTGTAGATAACATTTTCTCTCCTATCTTCCTTATGCTATATTCGAATTACAGCAGTTAGATGTTAATCTTTTTATGTAATTAGACTATTATGTTGCATGCCATGGTCGCTTAACAGTTGAAAACATACGAAATGTATAATGTGTGGATTGGTACAGAATTCTGCAATTTTTGCTTGCTTTTGAGACAGTAAACTATAATCACGTCATGACATTGCTTGAATGCCTACTTCTGTAAAAATGAAATCGCCAATTTTAGTCGTATAATTTTGCAAGCGATGTACAGTCGTCTGTGTCCTTAAGGAAAAGATGCTACATGTAATAATTACTTTCTGTCATGTTACACATATTTTAGTATTAAATTTTAATTGAGAACAACAGGAAGCGGAAAATGTAAACACGTTAGAATGACAAGGTGTCATTTACCTGCTTATCGACAAAATATATTGAAAAGAAGTTAGGAGATAGCTGGTAATAAGTAGAGCCCTAGGGCTGAAATAGCCAAACAAATCGAGGCTTTTCTTATTACAAGCTTATCTGATTACAGATGTTAATTCCGCTACACCGCAAGTAACAGCAAAGGGGTGTGAGAGATGTAACACTTGTTACTGCGCTGTGGAAGTCGCCTTTTGGCAACAAATCATTTCTAACTATTTTGAAGCGGAAGGATCCGTAATATAGAAAATTTTTTGAAGAGCGTGGACTACTGAGTGGTGTTGTGGAGATTTTTCCAGATGAACAGAGTCTGGAATTTCATCTCTGTTGATGCCATTTATTGATTACCCGCCGTTCTTCGGAATCTGTGTATTTGATATTGATTAGTAAATGTAACCGGAAATCTATGGAATTACAAAATAACACATAAGCAAGAAAATTCAGATACATCATATGCTCTATTATGCGGAGTTCGCATCAAAAATAGATAAGATAGGACCGCCCAAAGACAAATCAGAACCTCCGTCAATTGATTGGGGTCGACAATATGATCCGTTTAATGAAGGCTTCTCCTCAGATACCATAGGATTTAATGCTGTAACGTCAGCAGGGAACAGTTACCTTGCAGCATTTTTAAATTCTGTTTTATCCAACATACATACGATGATTCTCTTTATTAATGATGGAGAAATATAGCTACCCTAGTTCATGGTGTGTCTGTGTATTTATTAATTAAATAGGTATTTGTTATTTTAAATCAGGCTTTCACATTTTATATACAAGTACTAATGAATGACTTTCGTGTCTTTTTAGCTTAGAGAGCAGGGACAATCCTTTCAAACCAGATGGTGAATTGTGCAAAGAAGCAGAAGACATTTTAAAACGAGCTACAATCGTTCGTGATACGTTCATTCTGAACGATAACAAGAAGAAGGACACCTCCAAAATAAGCAAAGACAATTCTAATGGCGCCCAGCCAGTTCTGGAGGAAAGCCTAACACAGACTAAAGTGAACGAATCTCAGTCTTCACCGGTCAGTATTCAGCCAAAGCAAAATGGAGTAGAGGATAAAAACGTAACGCCAGAATCTGTAAAACTGGAGGTAGAACCCAATGTTGTTAATGATGTTAATTTCAAGGACAAGAAGAAACAAAAGAAGTGTTGCAGTGTCATGTAGCATATGGAGTGTCTTAGTGTTTTATTTTTTTTAACACCGGGATTATAGTGCAATGATGTCATACAACCACTACCGGGTGCATTCAGGATTCGTCCAAAAATTCACTTGTGCAGGTCATGTTACAGTACTTATCATTGGATGTCGCCCATGTAACGAAGCATGTCATTGGTTATTGCCATATTGAGTACTCAATTTTTGCTTCCTGTGTGTGGGGAATTTGTGAGCAGACGACATTTTAACGAATGCATGGTTGTTGTCAGATCCAGTCTCCCAGTATATGAAAATCAGAAATCCGCTTTAACGAATACAGTTTTGTTTGAATTCCTTAATATGAATCGTTTACACTACACATGTCAATATATGTGATCTGTGAGAGGAAAATGCAAATGAAAATCAAAGAAGAGTCAGTTTGAAGTATAAATATTATTTCATGAAAGATATATTTTTGTCATTTGTTATTTTGATGTAATATATTTGTGCAAGTTAATACATTGCTTCCTGTTGAAAAATTGGTTTGTCTTGAATCATTGAAGGCCTTGGTATCCAGAAACATTGTACATTTCTGCATGAACATGATAATGCCGGTATATTAGGTTAAATTCTGATAATATTTATAACTTTATAGCTAATCCTTCATAAAATAGTGGCTCACATACCCTTATAAATAAATAGCCCAACTAGTCTGGCTATTGGCTAACCTAATAGATACACATTCCTGACTCGTTTGCCTTGTATGTGTAACCTTGGTGTTCCACTACAAAGCTGTCCGCTACTTTTGGCTGTAAAATGTCCAGTTATTCAAATTTAATAACCCTTTAGTTATCAAGACGTGTCTAACTGATTTTTCATTAAAGCCACATTTGTGCACATTGTGTCTTAAATCTTAAAAAAAATATACATGAAAAATAACTAAGAAATGTGAATATACATGTATAAATTAGTGTCATGTATTAATATGATATGTTACTTGGTTATATTTTGAAAAGTCTCCCCTCGACTCCTCCACTAACAGTCTACACATGGAAGTTATTAACAGAAAGATGTAAATGTGAGCTCTGTTCGTATCTTCACTTCTTTTTCTTCACTGCCACATTCTTAACGTTGCGATGAGTTTTTTTCGCCAACATATGAAAACAATGCATATATATTTAGGTGTAGTAGTAGTAATTTCAAAGCTATGGGTTAAATAAGAGACATAAAGTAATCAAAAAGCGAAATGTGATGCATTCTTCAATCATAAAGTGATGAGCGACTGGTTTTATCAGTATCGACATTTCGTATGTCCGAATGTTGTTCAAACGCTCATTACAGTCCGTAGCTGTAGAATAAGTGCCTGTCTGGTTTTCTGATTTCCTTACAGACACGTAAGGCTTTATATTTTGGTAACATGGATATACTGACTGGCTGAAGGGGCTCGAGTTCCTAGTCATCGATTGGACGGATCATCGAGATAAGTGACAAGTTTATCATAAAATACAGCGAGATTACGTCATAGCATTGATTGTCGCTTGTTCCGGAGGAAAGAAGCTATGTGATAAGAAGACTTCCTTTCCCTGTGTCCATCCTTTCCCCCAAAGAAATCGATAGAGATCTGCGTCCAGTTGACAGCTGGCGAAGAAAAAAAGAAAGAGTGGTTGTTTTATAGTATTTTTGCAGAATTCTTATTACATGTTCTTCTCACTTTGATAAAATACGTGATAGAATTCAGATAAAATTACAGGGATAAAATCAAATCCATTAATTTTCATAGAAAATTAGTGATGAGCATTTACTCCAATATTCAAAATGTGCAGCTTATCATTGGAAAGGGTCGACGTCCATTTTCTCATTTTTTTTAAATATGTGTAAGCAGGGTAAAACACATATGATTCAGTAAGGTAAAACAGGTCTCTCAACTCCACTTGTCAAAGTATGGCAAGCTTATCTAAAAGTATTGTGAAAATAATCGAAGTTAAGATCTTTTGCAGCTGTTTTTATATTCCCATGACTATAAGGTTTATATCGATTCGCAAACATTCTGAATACCGTTGTGAATGTAATGAACTGTATAATGCATCAAACGGAATAATTCACATTATATCCCCCATAATAATGGAGGGTGCAACATCTGCGGACAATCTACCATTTTGTTACAAAACAGATCGCTTAAAGTTATGTATCTTTAGATGAATGTTTTATGAGTCAAACGGACCATTAGGAGTACGGTAATGAGATGCTTCGAGATGCAAATAAAGGATGAAAAGGCCTTGGTCTATACAACAATGGTGTGCACTTTTAAAGGACCCGTAATTTTATAAAAACGAAAACTATCTACCCCCCTCCGCCGAATTATTAAAACTGAACTTCGCCCTTAGCTATAGTTTCATATGTTTGAAAAAACAACAACAACAAAACATGTACATGTATATCATTTTCTATGTTTTACTATGAAGCATTATCGATGTTTTTTCCACATATTTTTTTAATATTTAATTTTGTGATAGTCCCCAACCCCCAAAAAGCTGCGTTTTCAGTTTTAATCACCCTTTATTATAATATTGGTCTTGATTTTGAAAGTTGGGTTTTTGCTTGAAAACAATCAAAGGTCTTGTATTCCACATATTCCAACGTTTGAAAAATCATAATTCCTTCTATTCCCTCATTTTAAAATGTTATCTTAGATTTACATTCATTTTACAAATTTTGGAAATAAAGGTATAAAAAAGGAATAGGAATGAGATTTTAAGAAATTAAAAATCAAAAGAAAATTTAATGTCAATTCATAACATAAATCTTAACATTTTTTTTCCATCAATTTTATCTTTTTTTAATTACTGTAAAAATTCTCATAATTTTATGAACAAAAATAATATTTAATATTTCAAAAAGTACAAATGAAAAAATAAAAAATGTATGAGAATATTCATACAGGTTTATGCATATATAATCGATTTAAATGTCACCATCAACTTAGAATTAAATAATACTTATATGTATGAAGTGCGTGTCCCTTTGTTTGCGCAACTTTTCACCTATTTCCACATTTTTACCTCCAACAATCTAAACTTTAAACACTGAAAATAAGAAAAGATTATAAGCAATGTTTCAAAAGCTAATTACTCAATCATTTCAAATTTTTATACATATTGTATTTTTATGGGGATATGCATTTACCGTTTGTGCAAATCATAATTAATTTTGATTTTTAGACGAAACATACATTAAGAAAATTTCGGTTGATAGCTTTCATATTCATGTTTATATAAAACACCATAAATACATGAAATATTTACAATACAAAACGTTTAGAAATAGGTAAATAACCAAACTTTTTATCGAATAAACATGATTGTACTCATTTCCTCCCCAGGTTTGTCAAAGATTTTATATGAATTGAGAGTACGTAAATCTATCTTTAAAAACTTACTGCAGACGAAACTGAAATATAATAAAACCAGGAAAAAAACAAAATGAGTCTGTGAAAACTGATAACCCCGTATGGCAGCCTAATGCGAAGGTTAAAGTTTCTCAAATGCAAGTCAAACTCCAAGGTCAAGAGATAAAAAAATGTTGTTACCCAAAGAAACGACTTTTGGATATACCTGGTAATTATGCAAGCCCAGGCATCAAATAAAAAGTTATCATCGGGTAAATGTTTTCAATAATTGGGTCAGACGTCAAGGTCAAAGGGTCATTGTTGTGCTATTTCAAATCCAGTTTGATTAAAAACCAATGCTTTTTACACATTACCAATAACTATCATATCCTTCATATGGCAGTATCGTACTCACTGTTGCTGCGTTTGACGCGATGAACTTACACTTGAATTGTCTTATTTCAGAAATATATTGTTTTAATCGCTATAGGAAACATCTGCAATACGACCATTTGCCTTTCACTTGAGAGTGCTAGATTTACACCAGTGGCGACATTCATAGCATACCATCTCCTCAAATGCGTGCAAAATATTTACTTCAAACGAAACTGACCAGATTATGGCACTCTCAGAGGAGTTCTTGGTGGCTATTATTTGTAACTGGTCATTCATTGTCTGTAGAGACACCGGACAAAGACAGAGGCTGACAGATCGAAATCCGGCCTTGTTCTCAGCTAGTGTGTCCAGAATAATATGAACCTGTAATGCATTAGTTAATTATTTTTTTGAAAACCTGGAAGAGAATACATAGGACTTGTGTGCGTGATGATTTTTAAGCATTTGAAACATATTGATAAGACCCTCTGAGTCTCGAATGATGTGTGTTTTGTATTGTATAAACATATAGGCATGTTTTTTTCAGAATATTTCGGCTTCTGTGCAGTACAGCGTAATTGTGTTCAAAGTTTGCAACAATGTGAAAACATACTTAGTCATAGAGTATTAGGAACGCCCAGGGGCTCCACGTTCATCGTGTAATATACTCGTACATTTCCAGATGCACGTTGCACTGGGAAAGCTAGACTTCACAAAAGAGACGAAAATTATCTTGTAATACAATTACTTAGATCTTGTAATTACGTCTATTTATTTCATATATAAATAGCTGTTTGATGTTCTTGAGAAGATTCTTAAAGATTTTTCCTACAAACATTTTAAACCCAGGTAAAACTTTAATGGTCATTTTATGACCCACCCTACCCCTTGGGTCATTAAATCTACACTTCCTGGGGATGCTTTCATATAAATATGACCAGTGATGAATTTGCTGTTTATGAGAAGAATATTTTTAAAATTTGATTTCATTTGATACCCATGTAAAATTTTCTCTGCCCATAGTGAACCCATCCTGTCCCAAGGGTCATGGTTTGAACAAATCTGAATCTACGCTATTTCAGAAAGCCTTCGTATTATGAGATTTGAATCTTTTCTGGCCAGGTGGTTCAAGAGAGGACGCTTTTTTTAAATGGCCTGATCCAATTTTCACAATTTTCTTGATTTTCTTAATTATCTCTCCATTTGAATTCCCTTTTTCCAAGGATATGCTTTGCCAGGTTTAATTGAAATTGATCCAGGTTGATCCCACCTCTGCATGGAATTTCCAGGATCCATGTTTAATGCCCCGTTCACAGATAAGTATTGATTTTAGTTTCTTTTATTTTAATTTCGATTACTGTGCATTATATTCATCTTTTTCATTTCAGTATTAACACTGATAACAGCGTCCTGTATGTCATAAACTGATAAAAGCTGAGAGGAGCGGATTTGACCCGGCGTTGTAGAGTAGGATTTCCCCCATATTCAGCTTTCACCCCCGGAAATTGTACTCTAGAGTAGGATTTCCCCAAGCACTAGAGCCAAATGTCCCCTCTTTCTTTCTCAGAGTAGGATTTCCCCCCGAGGGAAAATCTCACACCAGAGCCAAATATCCCCTCTTTCTTTCTCAGAGTTGGATTTCCCCACTTGTTATAAAGTCAATATAAACCACAGCCGCAATATTTTTATGAAAGAAGTAAATGACAAACTGATTTTTAAGTGGTAAATGAGTGTTTTTCGACCTATATAGTAAGAATTTTATAATCATAGTATGTATTTGGCTTAGCCAAACTAAAGAAATATCACTTCTACATTGAGAGAGGCAACTAATTTAGCAAAGATATCTGAATTGTGAAAGAAAAAGGTTTGTTTGTGTATTTATCCTTAAGTATTTTCGTATTTGACATGTTATATTTTAATTGTACAATGAAACAACAATTCTGAGAGTATTGCATTATTTATCAACACTTGTCCCCTACCGGCAAGTGTAGTCTAGCTAGAAATTGAAAATGCCATTATTCCGTAAATTCATTTACTAGTAAGTGGAACGAAATGCGAACTGGAAATTCACAATTTAAAAATTTGCTTTATATCTCCATTCATCTAGTAAAACATTGCGGAAAACCCTAAAAATTTGAAAAGCCGAAAGGTCGTTATTCCGTAAAAAAAATATTGAAGTTGAAAAAAATGCAACCTTGAACTTCAACTCATCAAGATACACTCCCATACCAAAAAAAATCAGCTCAACATCTTCAAACAATTAGAAAAAAAAGTGCGGAAAATCGTTTGGGACAGACAGAGGGACAGCTAGTTAGACGGACGGAGTAAACCTATAGTTCCTCTGGTTTCACCGATTTCTTTGATTAAAAAAATGGTTTTACAGTTGCTGAGAAAAATGAAATATAATATTTTCATTTTCATTCTTCGTATTCAATACATCTGGTCACCATTATAAAGATGGGAACCTTGTAACAATGTACCGACCCTCTCCCCTTCAAAACATAAGTACAGCAATTATATTTTATAGGGGGAATTGGCTCTGGGGAAAAATCGCACTCTATAACTACTACACATAGTAGGATTTCCCCCCGGAAAATTGACCCTGGTGTGGGATTTCCGTAAGAGAAATCCTGCTCTAGATAGAATCAGTTTTCCGTAAGGGAAATCCCAGGGGGGAATCCTACTCTAGAGCCAGTTTTCCAGGAAGGGGGGGGGGGTAGGGGGAAAGCCTACTCTACAAGATCGGTACAATTTGGAAAGAAATTCATTTTACTATTATTCTATAAATCCAATCAACAAATTCCTCGCTTCAAAATTGATCTGCATTTTGCAGTTTTGTGCACTTCTATTTTTGACGTTTGATAACTTTTCACTTCAAGTTTTCATATGTTCATATAATAAAAAGTTGTAATTTGGTAGAACCTTTACAGTGCTGAAAACAAGTCTATATGGCAGTTAAATTACAACAGGATCGCAGAAAATCAATCTTTTCAAGCCAATAGTAGAATAAATGAAATTACACTGTTTAAAAAACTGAGATGACAAGAAAAAATACCTTTTAACAAAGGTTTAATGATCAACGGGAGAGCACTCTAATTTTTCCAACCAATCGAAGTTGCTCTCTTGTGTATGGAGATAATTTTGGATTATGGCAAACATTTACTCAGGTTTGTGTTCCACATGGGGTTTTTGTTTACAACATTTTAACCATCGTGTAGATTTTTTTCAGAACAATTAAGGTAAAAGATGTTTCAACAAACAGCTAAGAATAAAAATATACCTAAAACTTTTATGTGCTTCTTGTCTTATTTGAGCAATAAGGCCTAACATAAACTGTACATTGCAATCCGAATTTCCTTTATTTTTATCCAAATAAACGGGAGCGGTATCCTATGTACAGAATACTATCTAAAGATTCCTGGTTTAAGTTATTTTCAAAAAGGAATATGTGTGCAACTTATTTAACTTGTCAGTATTTTTAATTTATTTGATAAGGTACTACTGTACTAGATCAAAACAATGTGTGTCAGAGATAGTTCCCAGAACAGGCAGGAGGGGAACAAGGTCAATATAATAAATAGATACAAAAAAGATGCACATATTGCATCATTTTATTAATGAATGATTTCAAAGCAACTATCCAAACTCATGATTTTTTCCCAGGAATTTATACAAAGCTTAAAGACAGAAGTACTGACATCAAGGATCGCCTGAAGCTGACTAAATTTGCTTGGTTATCAGACAAAGTCATTTTCCCAAACAAAGAACAAGTCCTCATTGATTTTCTTGGCGGTCTTCTTTTAAACAGGAAAAGGTAAATAGATTCATTGTAAAAAAAGATATTAGTATCAAGCTGATCAATCAAAAAAGTAAAGAGTTTAGTACGTAATATATTTTCACTATTTTTCAGTTTCTTCTTTTTTCATCGGTTAAAGTTAATTGTGATTTCAAATTTTTGAAAGAACAACAACTAAGTATCACAGTAAATGCATTCAAGAACTGTTAAAAATATTAGTTTTACACCGAATCACATAATTTTCAAAATTTTCATGTTTTATGAATGCCACACAGGAGTAACGTGACAGAGGATGAGACAGGTCTTGTGTGGAGGTGTCTGTATGAAGTTCTACAGACGAAAAAATGTCATGTACCTGCTAAGTTCCGACACACTCTCATCATCAAGCCCTCCATAAGTCAGGTAAAGATATTATAGATGTTATTTTAGGTAAATGTTGACCTTATTATATCAACAATTGTCTTACTAAGACTCACATGTGTTATGTAATATCATTTGTTGCTCTCTTTTGTCAGTTAAATTCACTCTGCTAATAATAGGGCACTTTAAGTACCCTCTGGATTTCCTGCATATTGATGAATGTGTGGTAAATTGACCATATATGACTAAACTAAAATAAAGATAATTTCAGCAAAGTAAAATTTTTATCAATGATGACAAACTCATTATCTTTTGTTAGATGAGTGACTTTTTATGAAAATATTTTCAGAACTTTTCAATACCCTGTTATTTTGGAATATTATTTTGTAGGTCTTATGTGACAGCATTTTGTTGGAGTATGAGAAGAATTCGGGCTGTACAGCAGACATTGTAGGATGTGCCCTAGCCATCATAAAGTCTCCAACCTTATCTTATGTCTTTACTTCAAAATATGATTTTCTGGTTTGTATTTTTATTTTCTTTAGACTAGCTCTTGTGATTTTTTAAAATAATTTTGTGAACAAATAGGAAAGAATCTATGCTCTGTGCATGTACTGATTCTTTATTACAATTACACAGGAGCCAAGTTCTGCTTTTGTGTTCATTAGGGAAAACCATTGAAACCTTCACCCTTACAACCTTTTTGTATGATTTTCATTTATTATGTTTTGAATAAAAAATGAGACAGTGATCAAATATTTGAATTTTGTCCCCAGAATTACACTCCAAGATTTAGAAAACAAATACAGTTGAACTTTGGTATTTCAAACACTGATATTTCAAATGGCAAAAATATGTTTAAGTGATCTGAAAGTTCCAACAATATATTTTTTAATAATTTTGGATATGCCCAATCTTCAGATATCGCAAATGTTTTCTTGGTACTATCAAGTTTGAGAACACATTAGTACCATTCTCAGTTAACCTTGGACTTTCAGTAAGGCGTGGCATCCTTGGTGCTACTCAATAAGCATCTGTCAAATGGCGAATAGAATAGATTCTCATTGGTTAAAGAATTGATAACATCAGGAACTTTAAATTGTTGTTCACAATGATGAGACGACTTGAGCCCCACATCTTTGCCGTACAATAAGCTGTATAGGTTAATTTCTACACTCTTTGACATTCACCAAATTTCTATCCCATATATATTTTAACAGTGAATGAAAGCTGTGTAAATTTCAGATGGTAATTATGTAACGTCAAGAATGCCACGCCTTACTAAAAGTCCAAGTTAAACTGAGAATTGTACTACATTGTATTTAAATTTATCCTCATTTTCAAATTTTCAATTTTTTTGTTCTTAAATTAAAATAATGATGACCCAGCAGTCAATGCTTTTAACACAGTTTTATATCAATAAACAGTATTCAAGCATTTATTTAAATTACAATACATACTCCTCAGAAATTTTAAAGATATGAAAGATTCACAAGCTGTAATTCCAGTATACATGTAGCTGTGTGATTTAAGTAGAGTATGAACATTTTCTTTAAAGGAGGATAAAAAATAACAAAATCTTACAATATTTTCTATCTCCAGGTGAAGTTTCTGGGCAATGTATTGCTATTAATGGTGAGAACCATCCAGGATGGAAAACCAGTTTCCTCTGATCTTTTTCAGCTGTTACAGAAATGTATAGCCATGTACAGTGTGTCTCAAAGGGCCCACCCACAGCAAACAAAGGTAGGTCAACAGGTAATAGATACTGTAAAATCACATATTTTCGAGGGGTCAGATTCTTATGGTTTGAGGAAAATATGTTGGTTCATGGGGAAATGATTTTGTGGTTGAAGAATTGTTTAGTAGTGATTTATTTGAAAAATTGCTTTTCGTGGTGGAAATAAATTCGTGGGTCTCTTCATACCTTGAAAACCAAGAAAATTAACCCCCCCCACGAAAGTTAGTGATTTCACAGTATGTTGTTGTGAAATATATATGTTATTGTAATGAAATGTACAGAGCAGCACACAGAGGATTAAAAGAGTAGCAAGTAAGATTCAAATAAAAATAATTTCAGAATTCAGTGTACTTTTAAAGCATCAAAAATAAGATTTATAGAGCTATTTCACGGTAAATATAATAAGCAACCTGTTAAAAAAAAAAGATCACTATGGATTGTGATAACAGATAGGTTCATACATATTTGACACAATCATTATCAGTTATATATTTCTCTGAGAAATATTAACTATAAGACAAAGTCAAAGCTGCAGTTTCCTTCTGTTCTAATACTGTAAACCACTTTTTATGCATGAGAACTTTATTTTTGCATAATTACATGAAACAGTTTATTCAAGAAAATTTCAATTTTGCATATATTAGTATTCTTAAAGATTATAGAGCAATACCCACAATCAATGAAAGTTTTGTTTCGCTAATAAAGAGTTATTGACTATCCCGTGAAAATAAAGTGTCAGGAAAATTTAGTGATCTACAGTTTTTGTGCCATTTATATTATATTTTTTATTTCATTAGTATCTATATTTCTGTGACAAAAAGGCTTAATTTTGAAAAGATTGAAAATAAAATCATGTTCCTGTGAAAATATTTTGAGTTAAAGAAAAATATGCATTGCAAGCTGAAATTATATGTCCTGTTACTTTGAAAGTCCTTACAACAACCATGACAAAATGTCTATGTATATTTGTTAGCTGATGTTACAGTAGGAGGATTAGATACGTTTCTAATCCCTGAATAAAAAGAAAATGAAAGAAAGAAAACATGATGTGGGTATTCTATACAATGTCTGTATGTTGAATGTTCTAGGTTTTCCAGTCTGTGGTTGAACACTTACTTATTTCTACTCTGTTGCTGGGAAGTTTGGCAGAGAAATGTCCAGAGCTTAAAAACTGTGTGGAGAAACTAAATGACATCCTTGATCAGGCATTGTTTCATAGGTACAGTATCAACAGAGTTATAGATCTTTTTACTATCGCAAATTGAACTAACTTTCTTTAAAATATGATTGTTTTTTTTTTTCAAATTCTAAATGCTTATGACTTTTATATCTTCTGCAGTAAAAGCTAGCATGTGAAATTTTATTTACAATGTAATTAAATAAAATTATTGTTTTTGGTAATTACAGATTAAATTTTCTCTACCTTCCATTTGAAATAAATATACATTTGTAGTTTTAAATGCAAAGGTTCATATGATCCTGAAGTTTGCTCAGAATTATGCCTGGCAGCATTTACATTTCCTTTATACATAAATTTGTATTCATGTTTACACAGAGAACACCACCCTTTCTATGAGAGTTTCCTGTCAGCTGTAGCAGGAAAAGATGACAAAAAACACAAAATCTCTAAGACAATCGAGAGCCTGTTTCACTCATTATCAAGTCTTCTTAACAAAAAGGTGCAACACAATTTTCAATTCAATTTATTTATTTTATTACATATGATTTATTTATTATATTTTTTTTTATATTGATTTTTTTGTTCGATACATTTTTAATAATGTGTTTTAAATAAAGATGTTATTTTTATAAAGTTAACTGAGCTTTATTAGCTCTACTGGTCAGAGACCAGAAGAGCTTATGCGATAGTAATGCGTCCGTCGTCCGTCTGCCTGTCCGTCTGTTTGTCTGTAAACAATCTTTTAAAATGCTACTCCTCCTACAGTTTTGGTCTGATTTCAATATAACTTGGCACACAAGTAGACTACACTAAGATACATAATTCTGTATATCGGTTTTTGATTTCGATTAACGGTGTTGCCGTTGTTACTAAAAATAGAAATTTCTATGAAATTCTTTCAAAATGCTACTCCTCCTACAGTTTTGGTCTGATTTCAATATAACTTGGCATACAAGTAGACTACACTAAGATACATAATTCTTTTTATCAGTTTTTGATTTCGATGAACGGTGTTGCCTTGTTACTAAAAATAGAAATTTCTGTGAAATTCTTTCAAAATGCTACTCCTCCTACAGTTTTGGTCTGATTTCAATATAACTTGGCACACAAGTAGACTACACTAAGATACGTAATTCTGTATATTGGTTTTTGATTTCAATGAACGGTGTTGCCATGGTAACTAAAAATAGAAATTTCTGTTAAAAAATCTCAAAATGCTACTCCTCCTACAGTTTTGGTCTGATTTTAATATAATGTGGCATGCAAGTAGACTATACTAAGAACATAAAGAGACTTAATCAAGGATCATTATTCTTTTTATTGCTGTGGTAAAGTTTCAATTCCCAACTTCTTAAGAACTTTTCTCTTCCTTTGCGATAAGTACAAACCAGTAGAGCTTCAGTCTCGACAGAGACTTCTGGTTTTTCATTGGCATTGAAAAGAGAATGTTATGTCTTGTTTACTGGTAAAGAGAAGGTATTACATGTACTCAGTATCTGTATTTAAAGTAACTTTAATATACCTGTATTTAAAGGCAGATGTAACATTTATACTTTACATTGACAGTTAATTATAAATTGTATTCTGCAGTAATTTAGTATCTTATTTAGAAGGGACAGGTCAATGACACAGATACTCAGAAGATTGTGAGTCAGTACCTGGTAGTTTTCTTTGACCATTTCCTGTCACAGAAGTGGTAAGTAAGTTAAACACATGGAGTTAAAGTTCTCAAATGGTGTTCAAGCATAAATTTCGATGCATATAATGAAAATTTTTACATGTAAACATCCCCCCTATTTTTTGAAGGAATATTCTATTTCATTTTATTTGAAATCATTGAAAAGGATCAAGCCATCTTTATTAAGACTTAGAAGTACAGTGCATGTACATGTTTTATTTTTTGTCCTTACCTGAGTAACATGTAGTAATCAGTAATGAATTTATATTAAAAAAAAAAGTAATTACTGTACTACATATTGATAAAAATTAACTGACTTTGGCTCTTTTATTGATACAGTGAAAGTCGTTATGTAGCACATTCAGCACACATTATTACTAAAGCTAGCATAGAGTCATAATTTTGCTAGGTAAAGAGACTTACTTTGTTACAGTGTTATTGTGTATTACAGCCATGGAGAGAAAACACTGACAGGATTCCAACTGTTTGTCCACATCTGTCATCTCATCGGGATCAGTGATTCCAGTGTGGAGCGGGGGGGACCATTAGATCAACAGGAAGTGGTGACTGTGTTATCTCCCCTGGTGAGAAGTTTACTGAAGCATGACATTTACAGTCAACCGCAGGATGCATCAGATGGCAACATCCAATACAAGTTCTACTGTCATATTCTGATTCATGTTTTACAAGGCAAACAGTAAGTACCAGTAGATGGAATGAACCCTTAAACTAACTGATCTAAACTCTGTAACTCAGGATGCTCATTACCTGAAATATTTCTTACATTCATCTGTGTAGCTTTGTAGCTGAGATATTTTTAAGTCTCTAGTTCTTGAGATCGGTGTTTGTTATTAATGTCTACTTTTCCTAATTACTATATGGTTATTACAGTATAATTTTTTTAATTTGTAGGTCTTCATTGTTTTATGCCTGTTTGGAGAGCTTATTGGAATTAAATCATGCTATTCTAGAGACTAAGATGTCAGAAGTATTTATAACAGGCTGGTTTGAGGTAAGTGAATAGGCCAAGTGTGGAAATTTTAAAGTCAGCAATATGTGTGGACAAGGCTTTATAATTTTGGCATATTTTGCAGATAACTTAAAATCACTTATTTTGAGGGGGTCAGAATTTAGTGGCTTGATTAAAATATAGTTGGTTCTTGGGGATTTGATTTTGCAGTTTAAGAAGAGCTAAGTTGTTTTTACTTTGAATTTTACATTTTGTGGAAGAATGAGCTCATTGGCCTCTTCGTATCACAAAAAGAATGAAAATTAAAACAAGATACACACATACATCAAAAAATCAGCTCAATATCTGCAAGCGTTTAGAAAAAAATTGCGGAAAACCAAGTGGGACAGACTGACAAAGGGACAGATGGACAACTAGACAGGCGGACTGACAGACTCACAGGAAACCTATAGTCTCCTCTGGTTTCACCGGTAGGGGACTAATAAGGAAACAGACATAGCACTTTCAACTCACTGTCGCATATCCATGCACGAGTATTTGAAATGTTTCAAGTTATGAAAGTTTAACCTTATCTGAATATCTTTATCTTTAACATAGGTGCTGAATAGGGACTTACTGACTTCCTTGGATAGCTTTCTAGCCAAATTACTTCAGACTTACTCCAAACTGAGGCAGGTTCCTAAGCTGCTGAGTTTATTGTTGACTGCTGTCAGAGGGTCAGAGTTTTCTCAGGATCCAGTGTTCTCCGAGGGGACTGCTCTACGGTGAGTAGATTTTCTGTCATTTTGTGTGCAGCTCATTTTGTCTTTTTGACATTGTCCTGTTTAGTTTCTTAGAAATAGTTTATATACAACTGATGAATCAGTTTAAGAAAAGCATGATTCATTTGTATAACTAAATGAGAAGAAAATAATTTAAGATTTATATGATGCAAAAATGTTCATTCAGCCTGTTGGAAGGTGTGTTTAGTATGCATATCTATTGTTTAAGAATTTTTTTTTCATTGTATGTTGTACATGTATATTCTGTTGAAACAGGTTAGGAGAGGTTGTGGAGCAGTTACCCCAAGCTGTTATCACAGAAGTTTGGGGACTCCTTCTGAAAGAAATTTCTGAATTGCTGCTTGGTCTTCAGACAGAAGGTGTGTCTCCATCTACGTGGCCAATAATGGATATTAAGGGTTGGCTATTTCCCCACCACTCCCACACACATAAAAAATAGAGATTTTTTTTTAGTTAATACTGTATTACGTACATGTTTATATGCAAGTAAACTTTTTAAAAATACACTGATGCACATATTCATTTACCTATGTTACCAGGTATACCATAGTTATGGGTTTGATATTTATTTAAACCATATGGTATCTTCAGAAATTCTATATGAAATTCAAGAATTATGCCAATGCACTCAAGATCTATGAATTGAAAGAACATACGTCGAGCCATGTTATTCATCATTGCATTGATTTCTTATGCATTAAAAGTAGAATGAAACCATTCAGTTGGCTTTAATTTGTTTGAATCAGGGTCCCTTTAAAATGCTCATGATGGAGTTTGAAAATAAATATTGAGTAAATTAAATATTTCATAACCATCATTGTATGTGAGTCCTCTTTAGGGGAAAGTTTTTGAACAGAGCAGTCATTTTAATTAAGATGATACATGTAATTCATTATAATTATGGTGTTAAACTGGAAACAGGACTGTATAGCATTTTTATTTCCTTTAGATACAAGATCAGCGTGCAGGCTTCTTTTTGTGACCAAGTTGTTTGCCGTTTTCCTGTCTCATGTTAAAGTAGCTGATTATACAATTACCCATCTGACAAGGTTAAAGGTCAAAGGTCTGATGGAGGAGACACAGTCGAGGTTAATTGCTCCACTTATTGAGAGAGTGACAGGGAGAAAGGTAGGTAATACGTCTCTGCTGGGAGACAAATCCTCATTACTGTACTTTATAGAACTTATATTTGCAACAACTTTATTTTGCAATTTACTGAGGGTAAACTGGTTTGCAATTATTTAATTTTTGCTACCAAACCTTTTTTGATCTGTTGTTAATAGACACAGAGAATTTAGGGACAAGTTTGGAGAGGAATATTTGTGATGACTAGGCTCTTGTGAACCCCGCAAAAATTTCTCGCACACTAATAAAAGTTGGTTTACAGTATTCCTTCATGTTGAATTACTGTGTATATAATATGAGCTGATTTTTTTCTCAGTCAACAGCCCCTGAGCCAGTGTTGTTCTCTGCTCTACTTCTGTCGTATTACTGGGGAGAGCTTCATCTCCTTCTGGAGGCATTTAATGTAGCTGACCAGAGGTCTGAGTGTCACGAACAAAATATTTACCGAAACCTGGCCGTCATCTTCAGCATTGACAGTACAAGATGGAAGAAGATACATACCATAGCTACTAATGCTGGGGTGAAAAGGGACTCTTACTTATGGGTAAATATTTCTTAGATAGTTACATTAAAGTAAACTCATGAAGGATTTTTAAACACTTTTATATAAGTAAAAAATAATTGATAATTTCATAATGTCCATTTCAGTATAAATTTTGTACAATTAATGAATGTAATGTACTGTAAAACATGTCCGTCTAATTTTGTCAAACAATTCCAATTGTGACAACTATGGCTTCTAAAGCAGCATTCACAAAGACAATTTACATTGAAACAGAAACTGTTGACAACACTGGTGCTGAAAGCAATGCTGGCTGACATGGGGGTAGAAGTCCCTAACAAGGAGGTAACAAGGATCGTACTAAAGCTGTCCTCAGACACAGAGAAATGTTTGTCAGGAAATCCAAGCTTGGCCTCAGGAATGGTATTAAATCTCTTTTTTATATTGTTACTGTAAAATTACTAGGGCTCCGCTTGGCGAGCACCCTATAGTGATCAGTCTGTCTGTCCTTCTGTCCGGCTGTCCGTGCGAGATACCGGTATGTTGTCTGGAGCATATCTTCTCTCTCCTTAGCTGAATCTGGCTCATACTTCAACCACAGAGTGCCTTTGGGTAAAGGGTGTGCAATTACCTTGAACCATGTTTCTAGGTCAGAGGTTAAGGTCATAGCAGAATTTTATGAAAAATCCTTGTCTGGAGCATATCTTCACCCCCCTTGGTCCAATGCGGCTCATACTTCACTCACAGAGTGCCACTGGGCAATGGATGTGCAGTGACCTTGAACAAAATTTCTAGGTTAAGGTCAAAATAGCCTATCTGTTTAAAATCTTTGTTTGGTGCATAACTTCTTTTCCTTAAATCCAGTCAGCCTCAAACTTTGATAGATGATATGCAACAATTTTCATAAAAGATACATCGCAGCTAGGTTAAGGACGCCCATAGGAAATGCAACTTAAGATATTGCAAGAAAATCAATATAATATTGATATCTTTTTTATTAGCACGAGTTTTAATTTAGTGGGAATTGTACTAATGCATATGTATGTATGGGGTCTCAACCGAGTTTAACCAAAGCGACTTAACGTACAGCAGCTGTTTGTCATGTGACATGGTTAAAATTAGAAAAAATATGTATGGATATAAAGAACATAAAAGTTCAACGATATACGGATAATTTTTCACCAAGAAGTTGATTGTGTTTTCTTAAAGACAAATTTCTTAACCCTAAAAGTGCTTGGAGCAACTTCCCCCTGCCCGTTAATTATATAAAACTTAGCCGCCTTTTGATTAACTTCATGCTTTTAAACTTTGCGCATTGAAATAATGTAAAATTACAGAAAAAATCATCAGCGTCCAACTTGCTCCAAGCACTTTTCAAAATAGTATGGACAATAGCTTCATGTGTACAAAATATCTTATTTTATAGTTAAGCGGATATTGTTGAACTCTTGAGATTTTTGAGGGGTTGTGCCTGTGATTGTTGTACGTTTGTGTATAAAAGTGCATGAGTGCGGCTTTATAAGAGATCTGTTCGGTATTGATTTAAATTAATAAGATTGTGAAATCTTGATTAATGCATTCAAAAATATAACTTATTTTTAGTTAGATCACGCCTCTTTAGATTGTGAAATCTTGAATAATGCATTCAAAAATATAACTTATTTTTAGTTAGATCACGCCTCTTTAGTATAAAATTTCACATTTACACGATTCAATAATAGCTCGATCTGCTTCTTAAGTGCAGAGAAACTGCATGTCAAACTAGTCTATGATGTCATATCTGTCAGTACAGTGAGATCAAGTTGGGTTTAATTTTACATTCAAATAGTGTTTTAATGACAAGATAAGTTACACATTAATTTATGTTTACAATAATAAGGAGAAATCACTGTATGTAAAAGTGTATGAAAAAGAAAATTGTGATTTATTCGCCGAGATTCATTTGTGCAGTTTCACTGTGACGTCATAATCAATTTTCCGAAGCTCTGCATAGACTGATATACCTTTGGCAGTCCTTAACTTAGCTGTGATTTCTAAAAGTTTTTTTTTATTTTGTATTTTTTCAGAGAATAGTTACTTTTTGTCCCCTTTAGACTCAAACAACTTTAAAATAAACCCTTTTTAGCTACCTTACATTTTCATGTTTGTTGCTGAAACGGGGCCCTTTGAGATGGCCACCATCTCAGTGATATCTAGTTTTATGTATGTCCCAACTTGCTGAATTTGAATATTTTTATACTCTTCATGAAAGTTTTGTCTGACTTCATTAAACTTCACAAATACATTACATTTTCTGAAAATAAATTAATGCTTTGAAAAATGTATTTACCAAAATAAAATTTTCCATCAAATATTCATTTTTAGGTCACCTGAGTAACTCAGGTGACCTATTGCTATCCGTTTATGTCCGTCGTCATCCGTCGTGTGTCGTGTGTTAACATTTGAACATTTTCAGCTTCTTCTCTTAAACCACTGAACCAATTTCAACCAAATTTGGTATACAGCATCTATGGGTGAAGGGGAACAAAAATTGTGAATTTCATGGTCCCCGCCCCCTGGGGCCTGAGGGGTGGGGCCAAAACCAGTAAAATTATTGCAATTTTTAAAAATCTTCTTCTTTACTCTTGGACATCAAGCAGGCAAACTGTTGGCATGAATGTAATGAGCATTGAGTCCTCTACCAAAATTGTGAAAATCTTGGCCCCAGGGTCAGGGGTTCTGGTGTTAGGGCAGGGCTCTATTGATCATATAGTGAAAATGCATTAATTCTTTGAAAATTATCTTCTCTGGGTATTAAATAAACTAACTAAGCACATAGTTATGATAAGCAAGAGTGCTTTTTCCAAAATTGTGAATTTTATGGCCCTAGGGTCAGGGGTTCTGGTGTTAGGGTGGGGCTCTATTGATCATATAGTGAAAATGCATTTATTCTTTGAAAATCTCCTTCTCTGCTTCTGGCTATAAAATAAACTAACTAAGTACATAGTTATGATGATCAAGAGTGCCTCCTATAAAATTGTGAATTTTATGGCCCCAGGGTCAGGGGTTCTGGTGTTAGGGTGGGGCTCTATTGATCATATAGTTTTGCATTAATTCTTTGAAAATCTTCTTCTCTGCTTCTGGGTATTAAATAAACTAACTAAGCACATCGTTATGATGAGCAAGAGTGCCTCTTCTAAAATTGTGAATTTTATGGCCCCAGGGTCAGGGGTTCTGGTGTTAGGGTAGGGCACTATTATTATATAGTGAAAATGCATTTATTCTTTGAAAATCTTCTTCTCTGCTTCTGGCTATATAATATAACTAAGTATTTAGTTATGATGATCAAGAGTGCCTCCTATAAAATTGTGAATTTTATGGCCCCAGGGTCAGGGATTCTGGTGTTAGGGCGGGGCTCTATTGATCATATAGTGAAAATGGATTTATTCTTTGAAAATCTTCTTCTCTCTTCTGGCTATAAAATAAACTAACTAAGTACATAGTTTTGATAAGCAAGAGTGCCTCTTCTAAAATTGTGAATTTTATGGCCCCAGGGTCAGGGGTTCTGGTGTTGGGTAGGGCTCTATTGATTATATAGTGAAAATGCATTATTCTTTGAAAATAGTTTCCTTTTGCTTCTGGGTTTTATGCCAATGATCCAAGTACATATATTTATGATGAAGAAAGGTGCATCTAGCAAAGTGGTTTTTTATGCCCCCTGTGTCAAAGGGGGGGGGTGTTTACATAGTGAAAATAAATTAATGCTTTGAAATCAGCTCTTTGGTATTAATCAACCATTTTATGATGAAATTTGCAAAATTTTGAAATATGTCCCCTGGGTCAGTGGTTCCTTTCTGCATAACAGGGTATAAAGTGGAAGTGCATTTTCTCTTTGTTACTCTGATCTACCTCTGGGTATTAAGTAAATAGAGTAAGCATAAGAGTATGCTAAGTTAATAATTATGATAAGCAATGGTGCCTCTTTCAAAATTGTGAATTGTGAATTTCATAGCCTCTGGTTTAAAACATGAACCAAATTTAATTGTTTATTAATACTCAGATGACCTGTAAGGCCCGTGGGCCTCTTGTATATATATATATATTATCATGATATGCTACTCCTGTGTCTGATTCAAAGGCAGACTGAACATGGTCTATGGTTGTTTTTCTTTTGTATTGATTTTTTTTTCACTTATTAATTAAAGCATGAATGAAGAATTTTCAAAACTTGTGTTCCCAAGAAATTTTTCATTTATTTTAATGTGTACAATGAGAGATGATGCAGCTCAAATAGGTCACCCTTGATGATTATGTCTCATGAAAACTGATTTCATTCTATTGTTCTATAATATAAACCAATATAACTTTGGTGAAAATTAGGAAAAAACAATTAAATCCGACATATTTTTGACCTAGAAGGCAAGAATTAAAAACCCATGTGGTCCCTGTTTTGTTTTCTGAAAATATTTTGCAAAGTATGGGACATATCACGTAAAGCAATCAACAAATGTAATAGTGTTAATGTATGATAATGAGAATAATTCTTCTTTGAGAGAAGGTCTTTCCTTACATAAATCCTATGCATTCATTGATAATTTAATCTGACATCAGCCTATCAGAAATGTTGAGTGTGATGGAACTTTTTATTTATTAAATATACTCTATGAGCAAGTATTCTGTCTAAAGAACTTGAATTTGGATAAGTTTGAAATGATTAAGTTGAGGTTGAAATATAAATTGTTACCTTATGTATGGGGTCTCTGTTGGAGACAAGGATCCAATATTTAGTAAATTAAACTTTTAAAGCTTTGACTTTTTATGTTCTGTAATTTAGATAAAGAAGGCAGGGAATCTTAGTCAAATTAGCTTTGCATGAAATAAACTTCTAAAATTTCTATAAGCTCTGTTTCTTTATACAGTTATGGGAGATATCAGAAGAAAACTACAGTCCAGCCAGTTTAGACCTTGTGTTAAAGATGTTGCCCCTGTGTGGTCCCCACTTGTCATGTGACACCACTCAACAGATTACAGAGCTGGTCATGAGAGTTATGACTAATGTTACTGATGCTGAGATTAGGCAAGTTTTACAGTTATCTCCCTTTTGATGCCTTTCTGATAGCAAGAATGTTCTTTTGAGATATCTGTGACTGTCATTTGAAGCAGAAAATTGAGAGTTTATAACTGTGACACTCCTTTGTAGTTATATCACAGTTTGTCCTTTGTAGGCAGTTACTGGAGAGTCACGTCCTAGAGAGGTGTTCACACCCAGACATTCTGGAGAGCTGCTCGTGGTCCTCCTGTATGCTTACTGCCACATTCAAAACATTCTGTTTAACTATCCAGGAAAATCAAAGGTAATTAACCTTAGTAAGAATGTTTCCCAAGGTTGGTCCCTACTTTTATGACATCATAAGTAGTTTTTTAGCTCTACTGGTCAGAGACCAGAAGAGCTTATATAGTAAAATACATGAATTCGTTGTCTAGCTGTCCGTTCTCTGTCTGTCTGGTCTGTCTGTCTTAAACAATTTTTCAAAATGCTACTCCTCCTACAGTTTTGATAATTTCAATATAGCTTGGCACACAAGTAGACTACAAAGATACATAATTCTGTGCATCGGATTTTGATTTCGATGAACGGTGTTGCCATGGTTACTAAAAATAGAAATTTCTGTGAAATGCTTTCAAAATGCTACTCCTCCTACAGTTTTGGTCCGATTTCAATATAACTTGGCACACAAGTAGACTACACTAAGATATATAATTCTGTGCATCGGTTTCTGATTTTGATGAACGGTGTTGCCATGGTTACTTAAAATAGAAATTTCTGTAAAATGCTTTCAAAAAAAATAAAACAATTTTTTTCCGATTTCAGTATAACTTGGCACAGAAGTAGACTACACTAAGATACATAATTCTGTGCATTGGTTTCTGATTTTGATGAACGGTGTTGCCGTGGTTACTAAAAATAGAAATTTCTGTGAAATGCTTTCAAAATGCTACTCCTTCTACAGTTTTGGTCTGATTTCAATATAACTTGGCACACAAGTAGACTACTCTAACACTAGGATACATAATTCTGTGCATCGGTTTTTGATTTCGATGAACGGTGTTGCCATGGTTACTAAAAATAGAAATTTCTGTGAAATGCTTTCAAAATGCTACTCCTTCTACAGTTTTGGTCTGATTTCAATATAACTTGGCACACAAGTAGACTACACGATTGCCAGGATACATAATTCTGTGCATCGGTTTTTGATTTCGATGAACGGTGTTGCCATGGTTACTAAAAATAGAAATTTCTGTGAAATGCTTTCAAAATGCTAAACTCCTCCTACAGTTTTGGTCCAATTTCTATATTACTTGGCACTCAAGTAGACTACACTAAGATTCATAATTCTGTGCATCGGTTTTTGATTTCGAATGAACGGTATTACATGGTTATTAAAATAGAAATTTCTGTGAAATTCTTTCAAAATGCTACTCCTCCTACAGTTTTGGTCCGATTTCAAATAAATTTGCACACAAGTAGACTACACTAAGATACATAATTCTGTGCATCAGTTTTAATTTTGATGACTGACAAGGATCAATTTTCTATTTATTGCTGTTTTAAAGTTTCAAATCCCAACTGCTACTTTTTTCTTCCTTTGTTTTAAGTATAAACCAGTAGAGCTACAGTCTCGACAGAGACTTCTGGTTTACACAGCATTGAAAATACATAATGATCAATACTTGTATTATGGTAGATCTTATTTTTGATGATATTGCATTAATAGCAGCACTGCACAGTGTTATAAAGAAACAATTAAGGTACATTTTTCTCTTGGTACAATAAAATGCACCATTAAGCTTATATGAACATAATGTTCAAGTAGATGGGATGTGGGCAGCACGCTAAGTTTATGTAACCTTTCACTTCGTAACATTTATGTACTTAATTTAAGAATCATTGACAATTAATTTATCCTATTTCTCAAAAGCTTGGAAAAGATATTAATTTTGTTTTTAGACAGTGTTAACTTTCTGAAGGTTACATTATTACTGTAATGCCATTCTTATAAATATCTTCGTTTCCCCTAACCTACGTACATGTACTCCTAGATAGTAAAGTAATTTACAGGTGGTGTTCAACATAATCAGAGAAATATATGCTGGCTATCAACTTGATCAAGATTAATAAATTATTTTTAATGCAAGGTTAAAATAGTCAGGAAACTATTTCTTTAAAATGAATGGATCTATTCGTTTAAAAAAAAACATTTTTTTACCTGCCCTTGTCCTATTTCTATGTACTTAAACTTACATGTAACTCTTATTATTGTTTTTTTTAATGGTAAAATTCCTGATTTCAGCATTAGTGTAAAACCCCAATGTAAACTTTGACTTATAATAGTTTTGAAAAATTCAAGGTTACTGTAAATTCCTTATTTTCCACAAGTACTTATTATCGCAAATGGGCTCTTCAACGTCAAATTGCGAGAATAATAATTCACAAATGTACGGTTGGTCAAGAGATTTTATATAGATTTCAGCACCATAAAAATAAAGGCGAGTAATTTTTTTCGCATGTGGTGCTTCTCGCGAAATTACGTGATAAATAATTCCATGCGTATATTTAGGCATCTACAGTAATATATACATGTACAAACCTACTGATGTGCTTCACGATCAAAAGCTACCTCTATCCTTTTCCTAGTGAACACAGTCAAAATTGTAGGAAAGGAATTTAAATTTATTGATAATTTGATGATGCTGGTGATTTAATTACTGGAGAATAATGCCTGCAGCATCTCTTTGATCTTGCTATGACTGTAGTACAATTATTCTATATTTTCCATACAATAGAGACTTGTTTAATAGTAAATGTATATTACCCGATGCAGTTATTTTACTTTTAACAGGAACACAAATAAAAAGATGAAAATAGACTCCAAATCTTCTTCAGTTAGGGCTGTATTAGATGAGCTGTGTGATGATGTTTTTACAATACAAGCATCTGAATATAGGTGAGAGTTGTCAAATTTCCAATTAAGATATATTAATTATATGTACATGTGATACAGTCAATGTATACAAGCATTGACATAATTATTTATTTGGCACTCTTTGAAAACATAATTGGTGCACATTGATTGTTTTGGTCTGGCTTTGTGTATAGACTTATGCAATCCTTTGGCAACATTCATGCAGATGATGCTCAGTACAGGATTTCTATCAATTAATGCTGTAACTCCATAGTAAAGAAAAGGGCATTATAAATTATCACCATAGAACGGTGAACTAGAGTTAATAATGGTAACTATGTGTTCTCTCCTTTGTGCCATATGTTAATCAATCTTCTCTGTGGGTTTATCTTGATTAAATTTCTGTTACACATATGTTAGATATCAGGGAATATTGACTTATATGAACATTTATGCCCTAGTTGGAATCTAGTGTTAATTGCAGTAGGTGGGAACAGATCAGTGAGGGAGCACTGCCCTGAAAGCATAATACCACCAGTACTAAATATTAACCCAACCCACAATGTAATCATACAAGGACCTTTAATCCTTATATGGTGTAGATCTTCAGTTCAATATAGGCAAGTTACTCTAATGTATGCCCTTTATGGTCTTCTGTAGCAGAAATATTTGCTGAACAAAATTCAGTACACACATGTATGTACAGTTTGCAGCCTTCAGTTTGGTGCAGTAGAAATTTTAACATAATCACTAATCAAAACATCATCTTCATGCTTGGATATTGTCAATATGGATAGATAACATTCATGTTTTGGCATCTTTGCCTGCCAAAGGTGATGATCCACTCCTCTTCTCTTTTAGAGAAGTTCTTTTCTTCCAAGCACTTTTGTTTTGTTAAACAATAGAATAGTACAAAAAGGTGTTTGGGTTGCTACAGAAACCTTCGGCTGTTCACCCAACAAGGAAATATATATGTTACGGGAGAGGAGAAAATGCAGCGGACCAGACTGGGATTCGAACCTGGGCCCCCTGAAACTCCGGTCAGGTGCTCTACCGACTGAGCTATCTGGCCACCGGCGATCGAACCCGGCTGACCGCCACATACGGTTATGTAGCATGACCAGTACATGTATATGTAGTATACATCTCAAGATGCAATATACTGTATCTAAGCAAGATCAGTAAATGTCAGATAAGTAGCTTCTAGGGAATTTACTTCATGAAACATCTACCTGATCATTGATCCAGAAAAGATGTGTTTCATACACATGCAGCATATTAAGCATTACAGCATTTCTGGAAGCTTTCAGATTCAACTTCTTTGAAATTGATCAACTTTTAAAAATGAATACAAATAATGTGCTATGTGTCACAAAAACATGCATCTTCATAAATCTGCTATTTTAACACATCTGGAAAATGCTGGTGCACATCTTCAACTTTAACATATTTACTCCAAAACAAACTTTCTTTCCAAAAGTTTGGATATACGACTGTTGATTACATTACATATTATCTCAACAGATATTGATTTGGCCACCTCTAAAAATGATGGTGATCTAATCAAAAAAGATTATGTGACAGAAAGACTTATATATTCAGATAAATAAAAGAAATCAATTTACCAGAACATGAGCTTTGGTTTAAAATGTAAAGTTTTATTATTTGCTGAAATTTTATTTTATAGGAAGAGAATGGAGAAACTGAGGTTCATCTCTGATTTGATCAGTGACAGACTTTTGAATGTCCATAGAGAAGGTCATCTCACAGCTGACAAATCCTCCTGGGGGGTCTGCTTACAGGTTTGATATATAATTAATTTTTAAGTATATAATGCTGGAGAGTTGACCCAGCACTTACATTGAAAATGTAGTAGTATTGCAATGGTTTCACTATTATTTTCTGATAAGTAAAGTAACTATTTTTGCAACTTTGTTACTACCTTGAAGCCTTGTTATTTTAGCAAATAGACATCCTGACCCAGTGTGACCTCTCACCGGAGGAGAGGATCAGGAGTGTTCTGGGGGTCTTAACTCTGCTGACTGATACAGTGTCCCAGGAACAGGCTGGGGAAGAAGAATTACTGGGGAAAATCCTCTGTGTGATGATAAAGATTGTAGAAAAAATGGGACAAGCCCCATTGTTCCACGTGATCAATGTCCAAAGATTTATGAACTGGTGCAGTTCGCTTCTAGCTAAGGAAAACAAAATGGTACGACATTCAGATAGAATTGCATAAAGACAATTTTGTGAGTTAATAAGAAGTCTTGCATTTTTCCCCCTAAATTTTTTCCCTCCATTTTCAGTATTCTCTAGCCATTTGTCAGAAGTTGGAGCTTATTCTGCAATTGTCCTGCAGAGTTATGGTTAAAGATTTTCAGTTACTCCCAGAACTCTTTCACATTATGAACAAGGTAAAGAGAGAAATATAGTTTTATGCAAAAATTAGATTGATAAAAATAAAAGAAATATTAAAAATAGGAAGAAAAGAATTGTACTCATTGTTCCTTTTATTTTCCAACAGGAACTGCAGGGTTCTTCAATGACAGCAGTCCCATGTTCTGTTGTTATATTTTTAAAGGAGATTTCTCTGGTATGTTTTATAATTATGGACTCCTTTGTATTGATGACCTGATATTTGATATATTAAAAGTAATTGCCTTTCCATTTACACATATACATATATACTGATATTACAATGTATTTAATTAAGGAATCACTGTCTAGTTAGTATAGTATGCCAGGGCATCAACAATAGTGGGAAACATGGGATAATTTGCATAACGGGTGAAGCCCGTTATGCATAAATTATCCCATGTTTCCCACTATTGTTGATGTCCCAGGCATACTATACTAACTAGACAGTGATTCCTTATATTTCCATTTCATTGTGAAATAAAAATGTTGATTTAGACTTTAAAAATGCAGACATAGATTTAAATTACACGAGGATTCCCATCCCAATTTCAATAGTCCTCGCCCACTGACGTCAAACACAATGGCAGCTGCACAAGATTTTCATGCATATTTGGCCTCCTTAGCATCAGACTCAAAGACAGATGCGCATGAGATTTTCATGCATATTAGGCCTCCTTAGCTCCTGACCTATTGACCTGCCTAATTTACATTCCATTAGAATTATCAAGAAATTAACTCCGCTAACTTTCAAAGAGTTATCACAAAGAGAAAAATTAGAAATGGAAATATAACAATATATTTGCTACATCACTTATAATAAAGAATAATTTGTACCAATATTTAATTAAAAGGTTGTAAGTGTGTGCTTTCATTGGAAAAAGTAAATGTCAAAAGTTTACTGTCCTTGTAATTTTCAATGTTTTAGCTGCTGAAGAGACCCTACCTGAAGGAGGAAGTCATCAGCATGTGTCAGACAGGTGTCCTGGAGGTGTACAGACACCTGAAGCCTCACCTGGACAAACTGCAGGAGTCCTCAGGGAAACTAACAGCGGGGCATGTCTGCTCTCTCTCTGCTGTTGTACAGATCCTCCCCAGAGAGCAGATAGATTCTGAAAATGTCTTGTTTATTCTCGACTTCTCACTGAAAATTCTGGAAGACTTACAAGTAAGGTCTACCTTAGAACTACCACCTAACTTCAGTTTAGATTTCCTCTGAGAAAGAGACTCACAAAAGTAAATAATGGTGTAAGATCTCTGTGGTGTCTAATAAAATAGATTCCAAGAAAGATGACCCACAAGTGTAGAGTTCATAGTAATATACATGTATAATCTCTGTTGTGACCAGAAAAAAATGTATTCCTAGAAAAAAAAATCCAGAAGATGTTTTCTGTAATTGTTATAACCCCCGCTTGAAAAGTGGGAGGGTATACTGTAATCGGTGTGTCTGTTCCTTCCATCCGTCTAGCTGTCTGTATAGCTGTCCATCTGTCCATCCATGCATCCGTCTGTCTGTTACGCTTTGGGGTACCCATCCCTTATCCGCAACTCCTCTTACACTGCTGAGTGAAATTTCATGAAACTTTCACAGAATCTTCATTACATATTGCCATTGTGCACCTCCTATTTTACTTTTTGATCCGACACATATTTTGGGTTTCCCTGCCACAGCAAAACATGGACTTTGCCTTTATAACCATATGGGAGGCGGGGGGTATCATTTAGTGAGCTCATTGATCACAGTACCTCTAGTTTGAAATTTATTTTACTGAATTATTCCATGATGCACTGAAGTCTTTTAAGATGATTTTTTTTGTTGGCAGGAAGATCCTTGTCTGACAAGTGCTTGTTTGGAGTATATACAGAGTCTCTGTCTATCTCTGGATCCTGATGTTAAACTACTAACCCCTGAACAGAAACTGACACTGTGGACAACATTAAAAAGTGTGTTTAAACACATCCTTGTGCAAAATGGCAGGAAAACATCGATTAGAAGAGAACACCAGTCAGTGAAGTGCCTGGTGGCTAGTATCCTCAAGTCAGAAGGACCAGAGAGAAAGTTTGACTACTTTACAGACACTCCCATGGAGTGGACATCACTAGATGAAGACAAGCAGGGAAGCTGGGCCTGGTTGAGGAAGAAGATGATGTATGATGGGAGCTTTGAGAGAGAGGGTGGGAGGGTGATATTTCAGCAGATTCAGAGCTCCGTGGGGGCACTCATCTTCTGTGTGGGGGATGACGAATTCCAGGCCATTATTAACTCGCTTGTGTCAGATTGTGTGAGTAGGGATGGAAATTTTGATTCAATCAAACAGTATTTAATAGATCCTGTGTTTATAGCATTTTCCTTTCTTATTTGCCATGATACTGTAGATCAGGAAATTTTATTTTTATTGGTCTATACTTAAATATTGTTCATAATGTGTTAGTGGTTAGTATAAAGACCTTGTACATAAATGTAGCTAATAACAAGGATGTGTCATGACCATCCAAAGAAGTCATTTGAAGGAGAACATAGTCACATTGATTAAAATTCTTGGCTGTTCAAAATTTATAATTGAGAAAACCTAAAAGCTGATCATATAAATATACTTTTGATGGGTTATCATAGAAAGTTCTCTCTGACAGAAGATCAACTGATCAGAAGGATTGGATTATTACTTGTTATGTCCATTACATTTTAGCATGGAAGTATTAATAGAAGCTTTATTATATTTTGCACTTGTCAAGCAATGTGGAAATATCTAATGCTTAGGCTTTTCAGAAAATTAGGTATTGTTGGAGGGTTTGAGTTGACTACAAAGACCCTGTCCCATTTTCATTCAGAAAAAATCAGGGTAATGTCTAAAGCATTTTAAAACTGGTGACTCTTGGCCATCATGTTGTACAAACAAATCTTGTATGAATTATACATTACTAGAAATTGCGAATTTCAATGATACTAACAATAATTGTATCTAGATTTTATTTTATTTCATAGCATCTTGAAGAATTGGTTCCACACAACTTGTACAAAATGCTTGCATCTGTCCATCTCTGGAAACAGGTCCTCCATAATGAATTAACAGAAGAGAAGGGTGCTATTGTTGTAAATGCTGTGGAGCAGGTATTTAGTAAATCTTACTGTAGGTAAAACACAGATGATGTCAAATACAGTTTAGTTTTGAGATTTAGTTAAAGTGAAAGAAATTCAGTGTTCTGTATCCAAATGTACTTTTAAGTTTACTTTACCTCTCTTGCACCAAATTGGAACTAATAAAATACATACATGTATATCCAGTTTAAATTCTTTGAGATACTTTCTTTGTTTTTTTCTTTTTTGTACAAAAAGCATTTGGGCTTTAGAAAAAATCATATAAACAATGGAGTTATGAGATCTTTTGGATTGTATACTTACATTGAAAAAAAAAACATCTAGAGGAAATTAAGAATTTCTGAGAAGTGAGCTCTTCTGGACTCTTACTTCACTGAGAGCTCTAGCTGAGATACTTTGGAGTTGATCATCAGTTTAAAGACATTCTTTCAAATGGTGCTACTTAGAGTGTGAAGAAGTTGTGTGTGTTTTACCTATAAACTAGTTTTCTTAAAGAATTATGAAGAACTGATTTAGCACTCCTACAATTTTTTTAAAAAACAGTTTTTGTTTTCCATAAATGATGATGCCATAATCCCTTAACATAGAATATGATACAATTATATGTTAAATTTTTGCCAAATGTTACTCCTCATATAGGTGTGGTGTGTTTTTCTGTTTTTATCATTTTAAAAATTCTTCAAGTTTGCAGAAAATCAACATAAATATTTGTTGTAAATGATAATTGTTTTTGTAAATATGAATCACTGGAATAAATTGAGTAAATATAATATTATTCTCAAAATAAGAAATTTCACTGGTCAGAGAATGACCTTTTCTGTCATATAATTAACAACAATTAAAAGACTACAAGTTTCTAGTATAATTTTGAGATAATTCTATTTTATTAAAAACAAACTAGTGTCCATCTGTCTGTCTGTCCTTTTGTGAAATTTCCACATTTTTGTCTTTTTTCTCAAGAACCACTGGGCTAGTATCAACCAAACTTACCTCAAAGCATCCTTGGTTGAAGGGGTTTCAAGTTTTTTCGTTTCAAATAAAGAGTGAAATCTTCTTCCAATGGGAGATAATTAAGAATCAATGAAAATTTGTTATCATCTTTTAAAAAATCTTCTTCTCAAAAACTGTTGAACTAAAAAAGTTAAAACTTACTGGAGAGCTTCATTATAAAATGTAGATTCAAAAAGTGTTCAAACAGTGATCCTTTGGGAGAAGGATAGGACCAAAATGGGGGAGGGGGGTAAAAAAATTACATAGGAATATGTTGGAAAAAGTCTTAAAAATCTTCTCAAGAACACGAGGAGTGAAATATTTTATTTCTTGGAGATACTTTGTCTTTTTATAAGATACACATAAGCATTTTTAGCTGCAGAAAAATCAAAATAAACAATGTTTTTGAGATACTTACATTTTTAATCTATGGGAAATAAAAAGTTTCTGAAAAGTGAGCTCTTCTGGACTTTTACTTCACTGAGAGCTCTGGCTGAGATACTTTGGAGTTGATTAACAGTTTAAAGACATTCTTTCAAATGTTGCTACTTAGAGTGTGAAGAAGTTGTGTGTGTTTTACCCATAAACTAGTTTTCTTAAAGAATTATGAAGAACTGATTTAGCACTCCTACAATTTTTTTCTTAAAAACAGTTTTTGTTTTCTATAAATGATGATGGCATAATCTCTTAATATAGAATGACACATTATATGTGTGAAATTTTCGCCAAATGTTGATCCTCATATAGGTGTGGTGTGTTTTTCTGTTTTTATCAAAAATTTTCTTCAAGTTTAGAGAAAAACAGCATAAATATTTTTTGTAAATGCTATAAATTTTTGTTTTTGTGTAAATATTAATCACTTGTGTAAATCAATTTAGTAATAGTTAATCTCTAAATAATAAATTTTACTGATCAAAGAATGACCTTTCTCTTTCATATAATTAACAACAATAAGAAGACTTCAAGTTTCCAGTATAATGTTGAGATAATCATATTTTATTAAAAACAAACTTTTGCATTTAAAACATTTATTTTTAGCTCACCTGAGCTGAAAGGTCAAGTGAACTTTTCTGATCGCATTTTTTCTGGCGTCCATCTGTCTCTGCCCTTCTGTCAAATTTTCATATTTTTAGGTCACCTGAGTAAACTCATAGTTATGATGAGCAAGAGTGCCTCTTCCAAAATTGTGAATTTTATGACCCCGGGGTCAGGGGTTCTGGTGTTAGGGCGGGGCTCTATTGATTGTATACTTAGTGAAAATACAAGAATTCTTTGAAAGTCTTCTTCTCTGCTCCTGGGTATTAAATAAACCAACTAAGTGCATAGTTATGATGAGCAAGAGTGCCTCTACCAAAATTGTGAATTTTATGGCACCAGGGTCAGGGGTTCTGGTGTTAGGGCGGGGCTCTATTGATTATATAGTGAAAATACAAGAATTCTTTGAAAGTCTTCTTCTCTGCTCCTGGGTATTAAATAAACTAACTAAGTGCATAGTTATGATGAGCAAGAGTGCCTCTACCAGAATTTTGAATTTTATGGCCCCGGGATCAGGGGATCTGGTGTTAGGACGGGGCTCTATTGATTATACATGTATAGTGAAAATACATGAATTCTTTGAAAATCTTCTTCTCTGCTCCTGGGTATTAAATAAACTAACTAAGTGCATAGTTATGATGAGCAAGAGTGCCTCTACCAAAATTGTGAATTTTATGGCCCCAGGGTCAGGTGTTAGGGCGGGGCTCTATTGATTATATAGTGAAAATGCATTAAATCTTCTTCTCTGTCTCTGGATATGAAGCAGATGAACTACCTATATAGTTATGATGAGCAAGGGTCCTAATCTTGCAGAATTGTGAATTTCAAGGCTTCAGAATCAGGGGTACCATAGAGGGTGGGGGCTGTACTTGTATACTGAATATGAATGAATTGTTTGAAATCTGCTCCTTGATATTAATTAGGGATGTCAACGAATAGTCAACTATTCGACTGTCAGTCGAATGGACCGACGATCGAATAATGAAACGGTATTCGAATATTAAATAAATGCAAGAAAAGGGGTGATAATGAAATTTTCATCTCAAAATTGAAAAAGGGTCCTTCCTCAAGCTGTACAGTTGTATAGTGTACGTCCTCAGACGAATAAGAGCTCAAACACAGTTACAGCTATATAAATAATTTTCCACATAATTTTGTACAGTGAAACAGTAATTACATACTGCGATAATTATTTCTCAATCACTGAATTTTTTTATTGTACGTAGTAAATTATTCAACGCTATACTGGAGTATAAAAATTATTTAATTGACTTGTACCAATTATGTTTATAGACTCTAGGAATTTCAAATGCTTAGAAAAACAAAATCTTTGCATAGCCGTGAAGTTTTAAAGTTCGATAATTATTAAAACAATAATCTTACATAAAAGACATTTTGATATATACTTAGTAGCTTGGGCAATCATTCGATAAACAAACATGTGCAGTATTTAACATTTTCATCGGAGGTGTGGATAGTGTGTGTTCACAATTCCCCATTTCCAATTTATTTCAATTTTCCAATTCATTTTAATTGATAAGCTTATAAAAACGCTGTGCTTTAAAGAAATAAATAAATGCTCCGAATAGTCGACTATCGTTCGAATAATGCAATCGAATGTTCGACTAAGGAAAATTGATATTTTGACATCCCTAATATTAATCAAATATTTTTGAAAAGCAAGGATGCCTTTTCAAAAATTGTGCAGTGTGTGGATCTAGGCCTAAGGGTCAGGGGTTCATGTGTGGTATGAAATTGTTTGAAATCTGCTCCTTGATATTAATCAAATATTTTTGAAAAGCAAGGATGCCTTTTCAAAAATTGTGCAGTGTGTGGATCTTGGCCTAAGGGTCAGGGGTTCGTGTGTGGTATGGGCACTACTGATTATTGCTGAATATTACTGATTAGTTGAAATGCATTTTTTCTTCCCCTACCCTGCCTATGGGTATTAAGTAACCAAGCTAAGCAACTGCTGAGTGTATTGTTATGATGATCAATGGTGCCTCTTTCAAAATTGTGAATGCCGTAGCATCTTGTTTAAAACATGAATCGAATTCAATAACTGGAAAGTTGTTGCATAATGCTCAGGTGACCTGTAAGGCCCATGGGCTTCTTGTCTTTTATTTTAAGAACGAATGGGCCAGTATCAACCAAACATATCCCAAAGCATCCTTGGTTGAAGGGGATTTAAGTTTTTATTTTTTTTTTATTTTTTTGTTTCAAATAAAGAGTGTAATCTTCTTCCAAGGGGAGATAATTAAGAATCAATGAAAATTTGTTATCATCTTTTAAAAATCTTCTTCTCAAAAACTTTTTGAACTAAAAAGCTAAAACATACTGGAAAGCTTCATTATAAAGTGTATACATGTAGATTCAAAAAGTGTTGAAATTATGACCCTTTGGGAGAAGGATGGGACCAGGAGGGTGAAGGAGGGGGAGGAGGGATTTATGTAGGAATATAATGGAAAAAGTCTTAAAAATCTTCTCAAGAACATGAGGAATAAAATGTTTTACTTTTATTTCTAGGAGATACATTGTCTTGTTATAAGATACACATAAGCAAAAGCTTTAGAAAAATCAAAATAAACAGCAGAGTTTTTAGATACTTAGATTTTTATTCTATAGGAAATAAAAAGTGTTTGAGAAGTAAGCTCTTGTGGACTTTTACTTTACTGAGAGTTCCTGCTGAGATACTTTGGAGTTGATTATCAATTTAAAGACATTCTTTCAAATGGTGCTTCTCAAAGTGGGATGAAATAATGTGTGTTTTTCCTATATGCTAGTTTTCTTAAAGAATTATGAAGAACTGATTTAGCACTCCTACAATTTTTTTTTTAAAAACAGTTTTGTTTTCTATAAATGATGATGGCATAATCTCTTAATATAGAATGATATATTATATGTGTGAAATTTTCGCCAAATGTTACTCCTCATATAGGTGTGGTGTGTTTTTATGTTTTTATCAAAAAATTTCTTCAAGTTTAGAGAAAAACAGCATAAATATTTTTTGTAAATGCTAATAATTTTTTGTTTTTGTGTAAATATTAATCACTGGTGTAAATTAATTTAGTAATAGTTAATCTCTAAATAATAAATTTGACTGATCAAAGAATGACCTTTTTCTTTCATATAATTAACAACAATTAAAAGACTACAAGTTTCCAGTATAATGTTGAGATAATTATGTTTTATTTAAAACAAACTTTTGCATTTAAAACATTTATTTTTAGCTCACCTGAGCTGAAAGGTCAAGTGAACTTTTCTGATCGCATTTTGTCTGGTGTCCATTTGTCTTTCTGCCCTTCTGTCAAATTTTCATATTTTTGTCTTTTATCTTAAGAACCACTGGGCCAGTATCAACCAAACATATCCCAAAGCATCCTTGGTTGACGGGGATTTAAGTTTTTTTTTTGTTTCAAATAAAGAGTGTAATCTTCTTCCAAGGGGAGATAATTAAGAATCAATGAAAATTTGTTATCATCTTTTAAAAATCTTCTTCTCAAAAACTTATTGAACTAAAAAAGTTAAAACATACTGGAAAGCTTCATTATAAAGTGTAGATTCAAAAAGTGTTCAAATCATGACCCTTTGGGAGAAGGATGGGACCAGAAGGGGGGGGGAGGATTTACGTAGGAATATAATGGAAAAAGTCTTAAAAATCTTCTCAAGAACATGAGGAATAAAATATTTTACTTTTGTTTCTAGGAGATACATTGTCTTGTTATAAGATACACATAAGCAAAAGCTTTAGAAAAATCAAAATAAACAGCAGAGTTTTTAGATACTTAGATTTTTATTCTATAGGAAATAAAAAGTGTTTGAGAAGTAAGCTCTTGTGGACTTTTACTTTACTGAGAGTTCCTGCTGAGATACTTTGGAGTTGATTATCAATTTAAAGACATTCTTTCAAATGGTGCTTCTCAAAGTGGGATGAAATAATGTGTGTTTTACCTATATACTAGTTTTCTTAAAGAATTATGAAGAACTGATTTAGCACTCCTACAATTTTTTTTTAAAACAGTTTTGTTTTTTATAAATGATGATGGCATAATATATAGAATGATACATTATATGTGTGAAATTTTCGCCAAATGTTACTCCTCATATAGGTGTGGTGTGTTTTTATGTTTTTATCAAAAATTTTCTTCAAGTTTAGAGAAAAACAGCATAAATATTTTTTGTAAATGCTAATAATTTTTTTGTTTTTGTGTAAATATTAATCACTGGTGTAAATCAATTTAGTAATAGTTAATCTCTAAATAATAAATTTGACTGATCAAAGAATGACCTTTTTCTTTCGTATAATTAACAACAATTAAAAGACTACAAGTTTCCAGTATAATGTTGAGATAATTATGTTTTATTTAAAATAAACTTTTGCATTTAAAACATTTATTTTTAGCTCACCTGAGCTGAAAGGTCAAGTGAACTTTTCTGATCACATTTTGTCTGGTGTCCATCTGTCTTTCAATCTGCCCATCTGTCAAATTTTCACATTTTTCTTTTATCTTAAGAACCACTGGGCCAGTATCAACCAAACTTATCCCAAAGCATCCTTGGTTGACATGGATTTAAGTTTTTTTTTTGTTTCAAATAAAGAATGTAATCTTCTTCCAAGGGGAGATAATTAAGAATCAATGAAAATTTGTTATCATCTTTTAAAAATCTTCTAATCAAAAACTAATTCAACTAAAAAAGTTAAAACATACTGGAAAGCTTCATTATAAAGTGTAGATTCAAAAAGTGTTCAAATCACGACTCTTTGGGAGAAGGATGGGATCAGAAGGGGGGTTAAATTTACATAGGAATATAATGGAAAAAGTCTTAAAAATCTTCTCAAGAACATGAGGAATAAAATATTTTACTTTTATTTCTAGGATATACATTGTTTTGTTATAAGATACACATAAGCAAAAGCTTTAGAAAAATCAAAATAAACAACAGTTTTTAGATACTTACATTTTTATTCTATAGGAAATAAAAAGTGTCTGAGAAGTGAGCTCTTGTGGACTCTTACTTTACTGAGAGTTCCTGCCGAGATTCTTTGGAGTTGATTAACAGTTTAAAGACATTCTTTCAAATGGTGCTTCTCAAATGTGTGTTTTACCTATATACTAGTTTTCTTAAAGAATTATGGAGAACTGATTCAGCACTCATACAAAATTATTTTTTAGGGCCCCACTCGGCAGGCACCCTATAGTGATCAGTCTGTCCATCTGTCCGTCCGAGATCTCTTGTCCAGAGCATATCTTCTCTCTCCTTGGCCCAATCTGGCTCATACTTCATCCACAGAGTGCCTTTGGGTAGTGGATGTGCAGTGACCTTGAACAAAGTTTCTAGGTCAAGGGTTAAGGACAAAAATACCCTTTCTGTTTACATTCTTGCCTGGAGCATATTTTCTCTTTCCTTGGCCTTATCTGGCTCATACTTCACCCACAGAGTGCCTTTGGGTAAAGGGTGTGCAGTGACCTTGAACCATGTTTCAAGGTCAAGGTCATAGCAGAATTATATGAAAAATCCTTTGGAGCATATCCCTCCCTTTGTCCAACTAGGCTCATACCTCACTCACAGAATGCTTTTGGGTGAAGGATGTGCAGTGACCTTGAACCATGTTTCTAGGTCAAAGGTTAAGGTCATAGAATTACAGGAAAAATCCTTGTCCAGAGCATGTCTTCTCTCCCCTTTGTCCAATGTGGCTCATACCTCACTCACAGAGTGCCAGTGTTCAATTGATGTGCAGTGATTTTGAACAAAGTTTCAAGGTCAAAGGTTAAGGTCAAAAATAGCCTCTCTGTTTAAAATCTTTGTTCGGTGCATAATTTCTTTCCCTTAAGTCCACTCAGCCTCAAACAAATTGACTGGGTATAGAACATTTGTGATTTTCCTTCCATATTTTGATATAGGATATGCAACAATTCTCATAGAGGATACATTTCTGAAAGTTTTTTAATTGTATTATTTTTCAGGGAGTAGTTACTTTTTGTCCCTCTTAATCTCAAACACCTTCAAAATAAACCCTTTCCAGCTACTTACCTTTTCATGTTCATTGCTAAGAGCGGGGACCTTTGAGATTGCCACCATCTCAATGATTTCTAGTTTTAAAAAAAGTTTTTGTTTCCTATAAATGAAGATGCCATGATCTCTTAACATAGAATGATACCATTATATGTGAATTTTTTGCCAAATGTTCCTGCTCATATAGGTGCGGTGTGTTTTTCTGTTTTTTTTTTAAATTTTCTTCAAGTTTGGAGAAAATTGGCATAAATATATTTTGTAAATGCTAATTGTTTTTGTGTAAATATTAATCACTGGTGTAAATCAATTTAGTAATAGTTAATCTCTAAATAATAAATTTGACTGATCAAAGAATGACCTTTTTCTTTCATATAATTAACAACAATTAAAAGACTACAAGTTTCCAGTATAATGTTGAGATAATTATGTTTTATTTAAAACAAACTTTTGCATTTAAAACATTTATTTTTAGCTCACCTGAGCTGAAAGGTCAAGTGAACTTTTCTGATCACATTTTGTCTGGCATCCATCTGTCTTTCTGCCCTTCTGTCAAATTTTCACATTTTGTCTTTTTTTTAAGAACCACTGGGCCATTTTTTAAGAACCACTCGGCCAGTATCAACGAAACTTACCTCAATGCATCCTTGGTTGAAGGGGATTCAATTTTTTTTGTTTCAAATAAAGAGTGTAATCTTCTTCCAAGGGGAGATAATTAAGAATCAATGAAAGTTTGTTATCCTCTTTTAAAAATATTCTGAAGAAGAACCATTGCACTGAAAAAGTTAAAACTAACAGGAAAGCTTCATTATAAAGTTTTTAACTCATGACCCTTTGGGGAAGAATGGGGCAAGAATGGTGGGGGGTAAAATTTTTATGTAGGAATATATTGAAAAAAAAGTCTTTATCGATTAAATCCTCTCTAGAACATGAGGAATAAAATACTTTATTTTTATTTCTAGGAGATACATTGTCTTTTTATAAGATTGATATAACCATTATTATCTTTAGAAAAATCAAAATAAACAAGTTTTGAGATACTTACATTTTTATTTCGTAGGAAATAAAAAGTGTCTGTGAAGTGAGCTCTTGTGGACTTATACTTCACTGAGAGTTCCTGCTGAGATACTTTGGAGTTGATTATCAGTTTAAAGACAATCGTTCAAATGTTGCTTCTAAGAGTGTGATGAAGTAGTGTGTGTTTTACCTATATTATGTTAAAAAAACACAAATCAGCTCGATACTGAAAACTTGTTTTGGGAGTCATATCATCATATTTACATGTTTAAACTACAATTTGTAAATCTTTTTTGGAAATAAAGCATTATAAAACCAGCAATTTGATATGAGTGGACTGAGGGGCGATGAACCTTTACCTGACAGTTTTCTTTAACAGGTGATGATTCATTTCCAGTCAGCAATGTTACAGCTAAAGGACTTACAAGACGATGATGTAATTCTCAGTTTGGCGGTACCAGTAATGAACTGTCAAGCTGACATGCTTAATTTTGGACCTGTAAGTATAAGTTTATTAGGTCACCTGAGTCACTCAGGTGACCTATTGCTATCTGTTTTTGTCCGTCGTCGTACGTCGTACGTCGTACGTCGTTCGTCGTCAATCGGTCGTAAACTTTTGAACATTTTCAGCTTCTTCTCTGAAACCACTGAACCAATTTCAACCAAATTTGGCACAAAGCATCTATGGGTGAAGGGGAACAAAAATTGTGAATTTCATGATCCCTGCCCCCCTGGGGCCTGGGGGGTGGGGCCAAAACCACTAAAATTAATGCAATCTTCAAAAATCTTCTTCTTTACTCCTGGACATCAAGCAGTCAAACTGTTTGCATGATTGTAATCAGCATTGAGTCCTTTACCAAAATTGTGAAATTCATGGCCCTGGGGTTAGGGGTTCTTGTACTAGGGCGGGGCTAAATAAGTATATAGTGAAAATGCATTATTTCTTTGAAAATCTTCTTCTCTGCTCCTGGGTATTAAATAAACTAACTAAGTACATAGTTATGATGAGCAAGAGTGCCTCTACCAAAATTGTTAATTTTATGGCCCCAGGGTCAGGGGTTCTGGTGTCAGGGCGGGGCTCTATTGATTATATAGAGGAAATACATGAATTCTTTGAAAATCTTCTTCTTTACTCCTGGGTATTAAATAAACTAACTAAGTATATAGTTATGATGAGCAAGAGTGCCTCTACCAAAATTGTGAATTTTATGGCCCCAGGGTCAGGGGTTCTGGTGTTAGGGCGGGGCTCTATTGATTATGTAGTGAAAATACATGAATTCTTTGAAAATCTTCTTCTCTGCTCCTAGATTTTATATAATTTAACTAAGTACATAGTTATGATGAGCAAGACTGCCTCTACCAAAATTGTGAATTTTATGGCCCCAGGGTCAGGGGTTCTGGTTTTAGGGCGGGGCTCTATTGATTATATAGTGAAAATACATGAATTCTTTGAAAATCTAGTTATGATGAGCAAGAGTGCCACTACCAAAATTGTGAATTTTATGGCCCCAGGGTCAGGGGTTCTGGTTTTAGGGTGGGGCTCTATTGATTATATAGAGGAAATACATGAATTCTTTGAAAATCTTCTTCTTTACTCCTGGGTATGAAATAAACTAACTAAGTACATAGTTATGATGAACAAGAGTGCCTCTGCCAAAATTGTGAATTTTATGGCCCCAGGGTCAGGGATTCAGGTGTTAGGGTGGGGCTGTATTGATTATACATGTATAGTGAAAAAACATTAAATCTTTGAATATTTTCATCTTTGCTCCTAGGTTTTAAGCAGATGAATTACCTATATAGTTTTGAGCAATCCCTAATCTTCAAGAATTGTAAATTTCAAGGCCCCAGGGTCAGTTGTACCATAGTGGGGGGGGGGGGCTGTACTTATGTACTGAAAATGAATGAATTGTTTGAAATGTGCTCCTTGGTATTAATCAAATATTTTTGAAAAGCAAGTATGCCTTTCCAAAAATAGTGCAATGTGTGGATCTAGGCCTAAGAGTCAAGGGTTCATGTGTGGTAGCGGCACTACTGATTATTGCTGAATATTACTTATTAGTTGAAATGCATTTTTTGTTCCCCTACCCTGCCTATGGGTATAAAGTAACCAAACTAAGGAACTGCTAAGTGTATAGTTATGATGACCAGATTGTAAATGCTATAGCATCTGGCTTAAAACATGGATCAAATTCAGTCACTGGAAAGTTGTTGAATAATGCTCAGGTGACCTATAAGGCCCAGGGGCCTCTTGTTATCGCATCCAAAAACATCTCTAGCAGAGATTTTTTTGCCTTTCAATGAATGGATAAAAAATTTGTAACATGCAGCTTCAAACAATAATCAATTTTTTCTATATTTCTTCTGGAGTGAATAAATGTACATGTAGCACACACAGATCATTTATGTCCTGCTTCACAGAAAAATGGAATTATTGTCTACTGGCTTTTATGATAGTGCTGGTTATTTTTCTGGTATTTCTATTAATTACATCAGATTGGCTTCGAATTCATAAGATCTACATATATAAAACAAGAGGCCCAGAGGCCTCATTACTCACCTGAGCACTTTGGCTAGGAAAAATCGGAAATCAGATTAGTATTGAAAAGTTTAAATTTAAAAGTGAGTTGCGTCAAGCGAAAAGGGACCTTCGTGACAAAATTTTCGAAAATAGTTTTTTTACCGATTCTGAAAGAGCTAGTTTTTCTGAATACTTTGATACCAGATTTTTTATTATATACCTTCTAAATTCTGATTAAAACTCAAGATGAAAGTAATGAAATTTTAACAAGATAACGCGATAATACGTTGAATAACGTCACATAACGTTATTGATATTTGTAACGTTACTATTACAAAATAACCCATTTGTATTAGTTAGAAATTATTTTTTCTGCATGTATTAAGTTTTTTCAATATCTATTTCCCCAAATTTTAGCATTTATGTGATCGTATAATTTGTAAAATAGCGATAAGGCAGTTGAAAAACACCCTTAATTTTATCTATATTCAGGCCAATATTGAAATAATAAAGTACATGTAAGTTGTAAATTTTCAAAGAATATATTCAATGACACCATCTCATCTTTTTTTCTACAACATGAACATAAGCATGCTTTAATCTCTGAAATATTGATATTTGAAAGGATCCTCTACAAGGGGATAGACCGCTGACCATACAAAACTTAACAAGTTCCTACTCTGCAGTTATCTCGCAAGGCATTCGTAATACTAAAATTAAATAACATATACTGGTCAGTACAAACATTAGGTACTAAAATTTAAATAAAATATACCAGTACAAACATTAGATACTAAAATTAAATAAAATATACAGTACAAACATTAGATACTGAAATTAAATAAAATATACCAGTACAAATATTAAATACTAAAATTACATAAATATTCCGGTACAAACATTACATACTAAAGTAACTAGGAAATAAAATATTCCGGTACAAACATTGTATCAATAGTTATGACTTAACTATATATCAGTTAAAGAATAAAAAAAAAAGAAATAAAGTTTTTGTACATTGGGGAAAGGGGGGGGGGTCTTCTTAAAAAAATGAGCCCGGTACGTTGTGCTTGGAACAAAGACATGTTACTTCGGTGCTTGTGATTGCTTAAATTTTGCTAAAGATAAATATTGTATGTCGTGCAATTTTGTAAAGAAAATATATTGTATTTTATTCTCATGTTAAAAATATTAAGGAATTGAATTACTCAGCACTAAAAAATACCAATAAAAAATACCCAAGTTATGTATGTATCTACACTTGATGCAAAACAATCAGTTGGACAACATTAAAAGTCAGAAGTTAAATTCATACTTTCAGAGTATACTAATATCGTTAATATATAATTAACGTATGTATAAGCTTTTCTTCTGTGCCACCCAATCACGTGTTAGTACGTTGTTTCATGCAATATTTTATTGACCAAATCACTGGTACCGGATGACATTCTAGCTGTACAATCTAAACAGTTGATACACAGTTACATACATGATACATGTACATGTAAATAATCAGTTTAATTCATATTCAGCTGTATCAATGAGAACAATAAATGGTGTTAACCCTTTGTGTGCGGGAACCCAATATATTGGGTCTGACGTCACAAACGCTTGCGTGCGGGAACCCAATATGTTGGGTCTGAGTCTGAAATTAGCGCTTCGTCACATAAAACGTCGTATAAAACGTATAAATGAGCTGTGAATTATTCAGAATCTATCAAAATGTATTATACAACTACAACACATTGAAAAATAGGTAATTAAGATGTGAAAATATGCGAATTGTTTGTGAAATTGTGATTTAAAGTGAAGGTGTTTGGCGTTTGTTACGATGAAAGTCAGTCCGCTATATTTAGCTCTACTGGTCAGAGACCAGAAGAGCTTATGCGATAGTAATGCGTCCGGCGTCCGGCCGTCTGTCTGTCTGTCCGTCTGTAAACAATTTTTCAAAACGCTACTCCTCCTACAATTTTAGTCTGATTTCAATATTACTTGGCACACATGTAGAGTACACTAAGATACATAGAATAGTGCATCGGTTTTTAATTTCGATGAACGGTGTTGCCATGGTTACTAAAAATAGAATTTTCTGTGAAATTCCTTAAAAATGCTACTCCTTCTACAGTTTTGGTCTGATTTCAATATTACTTGGCACACAAGTAGACTACACTAAGATACATAGAATAGTGCATCGGTTTTTAATTTCGATGAACGTTGTTGCCATGGTTACTAAAAATAGAATTTTCTGTGAAATTCCTTAAAAACGCTACTCCTTCTACAGTTTTGGTCTGATTTCAATATAACTTGGCACACAAGTAGACTACACTAAGATACATAGAATAGTGCATCGGTTTTTAATTTTGATGAACGGTGTTGCCATGGTTACTAAAAATAGAATTTTCTGTGAAATTCCTTTTAAATGCTACTACTTCTACAGTTTTGGTCTGATTTCAATATAACTTGGCACACAAGTAGACTACACTAAGATACATAGAATAGTGCATCGGTTTTTGATTTTGATGAACTGTGTTACCATGGTTACTAAAAATAGAATTTTCTGTGAAATTCCTTTAAAACGCTACTCCTTCTACAGGTTTGGTCTGATTTCAATATAACTTGGCACACAAGTAGACTACACTAAGATACATAGAATAATGCATCGGTTTTTGATTTCGATGAACGGTGTTGCCATGGTTACTTAAAATAGAATTTTCTGTGAAATTCCTTTAAAACGCTACTACTTCTACAGTTTTGGTCTGATTTCAATATAACTTGGCAGACAAGTAGACTACACTAAGATACATAGAATAGTGCATCGGTTTTTGATTTCGATGAACGGTGTTACCATGGTTACTAAAAATAGAATTTTCTGTGAAATTCATTCAAAACGCTACTCCTTCTACAGTTTTGGTCTGATTTCAGTATAACTTGGCACACAAGTAGACTACACTAAGATACATAGAATAGTGCATCGGTTT